ACATATACTGCATCGAGTTTTCTCGTCGGCTTCCTGAGAAATGGGGGGAGAATTGGTTAAACAATTTCCACTTTCATACTACAGTATACCAGTCTTCTCTATTAGGCCTGATAGTTTTATTCACTTATGAAGCCTTGTGTATAACAAAAAGCCCAGTACAGAATACCTCACTAAACCAGGCCCTGATTATCCGGACTGAATGCAGACGGATGCAATCATTCACATATCAAATAAATTGGATGCTATACATTGATATGGACTTGTCTCATGCTGCAGTACAGCAATACTATACCCCATTTAGAGCTCTAGGTAGGTTCCAAATAATGGGGCTCTAACCAAATGATCTCAAATTGGGATAATTTAACCATAGTATATAATGCGATGCATTCCTCAAGCTATTTCCTACCACCACCCTTGTACAGCACCGGCCCTCCCTGTTCACTACAGGATCAGCCCTCCTGTTTACTACAGTCCTCTCGGATCATTACAGTAACAGCCTTCCCCATTCACAACACCGAAGCTACATATTTGACTCGGGAATTAAAGGGAAATTTTCCTTTTCAGAAGAATATTGCGTCAAATTTCATGACAGAAGGCCCAGCAAACTGATGTAACCAGACAAATAATATTCAATACAGAAAATTTGACCTTAGATCCTAATATTGTAGGATATCTGCCTTTCAATGATGTGTACTTGTGAACTTGCTTGTGAAATTATATTTTGGGGATAATTTTTTTTTCAAATAAAAAATTATCCCCTTTCTTCACAGGCAAAAAAAATCGGAACGAGTTGTTTGAGAAATACACTAGTCTCTCCTTGGTGCAAAAACCAACAAAGCCACTTAAAAAATTTTAATACTGTATATAATCCAAAAATCCATATAAAGCCCACCAATTTTTCACTGCATTTTACCAACAACTTCTTACACTACCCTTTAACACATTTAGGAAAGATAGAAAGTACAGCATGCCCTTCAAATTTCGTGGGGGTTAGGTTCTCAAAATGGCCGCGAATCACCAAATCCGCGAATAACATTTGCTGACCTGGGGGGACATTTTTACCTGTGTACAAAGAAAAGTATACAGTAATACCCGATTTATGCGGTTCTCGTTTAGGCGATTCTACGTTTAGGCGATTCTACATTTACTCGGTACCTCGCCAGAACCGGATTCCCATTTTACACGGTGCATCTACTCATATACGCGGAAGCGGCGCGGGCAGGGTGCGCACAAGGTCACCCAGTCATCAAAACATTACCGAGTTCTTCACCCGCCACCCACCACAGCCGGCCCAAGTTAGTAATAGTGAGGATATGGATTTATATGGACTTTGAGGGGTTTGACAAAGATAGTGAGGATATGGATTTATATGGACTTTGAGGGGTTTGACAAAGAGGCCCTGCAAGCCCTCTGCCTCGGAACCAACCCCTCATCTCCGTGTGCCCAGCCATCTTTTCTACTAATGTAAGTGTTAAAAAACCTAATATTATTGATATTTCTCTTAATTATTAATTGTGTGTGCATACCATCATAAAATTAAGATGTTATTTTTACTACAACGTACGTATTGTGTCTGAAAAAGTGGAGTTTGGGAGTCGGGCCAGTCTCTATTGGAATTAATCCCATATGTTGTTATACGTTTCTCGTTTTAAACGGTACCCCGTGGGTTCAATTGACCGCGTAAATTGGGGTACTACTGTACTGTATTCCCTTTGTGTTTGCCCTTAGGACAATTATTTCTTTATATATATATATATATATATATATATATATATATATATATATATATATATATATATATATATATATATATATATATATATATATATATATATATATATATATGTATGTATGTATGTGTGTGTGTATACACACAAATAAATAATAATGGAAAAATTCTCACAAATAACCAGAAAAATTTATTAACTGTTGAGTCTGCCCTCAAGTGCACACCGTGGTCTATTAGCAACTAGTTCCAGCATAATTGCATTAATCAATTTGGTTACTATTGTCACACCAACATTTGATGCTTTCATTACTTCTCCAACTATTCCAAAGCTACCAGTAGGCTTTTCCATTCTTCATTCTGTTAAATCAGTTTCTTACCATTCTCTTTTAATCCTTGGGCATGGTCCCCATATACTGGTTCTACTACCCTTAGGCTGCCCGTTCTATTCAGACTCCTCATTAAACAGACTATCCTAGTATTTTCTCCATACATTCTTGATTTCCTCATTATCAATAACCACATTTTTGTAGACATTTCTCACACATTGCTCAATAACTACTCTTTTCTACCTACTATTTGCATTGCATTCTGTAAACTTCACTTCCAGTATCCACACTATTCAGTATAATGTACATACATGTTGTGGAGAACACAAATCATTCAATGCTGAATTCAACATTTCAGAATATGTATTCCTCTTCACGCACCGTAAAACTTGATGATGTGGGGGTTCTTCAGCATACGATGTAAGCACATTTCCTTTCTTACAGCATTTGCTGCATCATTATGTTTCACCAGGTCCACCATCTTCATGGCAACAGCTTCGCCAGTGTCTTGGTTGATTAATAACTTGACCCTAGGGAAAAACATTTATCAGATCAATAAAAACTAATGCTATAACAAAATGTTGGCTTGAATTAGCCAGTGAAGGCTCATCCTGATATATACATTGATTTTTTTCAAGTTCTAAAAATCAAATCAAAGCAGTCCACTATCTTAACTACTGAAGGGTGTTCATTCACTACAAATTGAGAGTATTATAGAAACTGAAGTTTAAAAACAAAACTGTATTGTCCAAAAAATGGCAAAATATGACTTAATAGCCAGCATGAGGCATTTTCAGATTTCTACAATATTCCATGATTTCTAGGTCTCTCTTGAACCTCAAGCCATAGGCTACTGCATTTCATTTCAAAATTTTAAATTCATATAACTGAAATTCATACACCCAATAAATTCATACAATATATGTATTTTCATTTACCTTACATGATCTGTAAATGTACAGCAGTAAGTTACAATCCCCCAGCTGCTACTACAAGTGGTAGCTGGGGATTGCCATGGTTATTGCACATCTCTCTTTTCAGTGACAATGCAAGAATGGCACAAAAAATTTTCACTTGAATGATGTAAAAAACACAACACACCTCACTTGACAGATGGCAGGACTTGACTCAAGCGAGTCACAGTTGGAGAATGAATCAAATAACAGCTGCAACTGGGAGGTCGTGACCACCATAAAACTGATCTTAGCCACTGAATAGCAGTACAGATAAAACTGATCTTAGCCATTGAATAGCGGTACAGGAACTTGGTGTTAATTTCTTTATTGTTAACTGATCGACTTTAGAGATCAATCGTATAATGGTCAACAACTGGATATAAAAATACTGTATAAGGTATAATAAATTGTAATACATCTTCAAATATAGTCTACTGGGCATCTGGGTGAGAAGGTATGAATGAGCATTCTAAATTCCCTGTGGTCACTGATGCTTGACCCCTGATGGGTCATTGAAACATCCTTATTTCCCACTGCAATGTCCCAGATGCTCAACCCATGACTGATAATTTTATAAAGCCTACGAATTGTTCCTGGAAGATATTTACTGTCTTCAGTTTGGGAAGATAATTATGAAGGGAACGTTTCAGAATCACTCATAGATAAGCAACAGGAGCATAAGGATATAAAAAGGTGTACAAGGGGGTAAAAATCAACACCAGAATGAATTAAAGGATGATACGATGAATACCAAGGTCCCAAACAATTTCATAACTTTTCAATTACATGTATAAAGTATATAAGGTATTATTGAATATAAATTTCATCCATTTTAAAGCATAGTCATTGTTGTGGGCAGTGTACATCCCAGGATAAGTAAACTTGGACATAACAACACTAACCCAGCAATATTCTAGCACTTTTCATTGCCACACATGAACAAAATGTTCATTGTGGAAGCAGAAGTGCAACAGCATGATTTCAGATATTAGACAAATTCAGTATTCAGGATCAGGTCAGTGGACTCCATACCTAATCCTGAATACTCTCATCAAGATTATCCCTAAACCCCACCCTACCTCAACTGAGGAGACGTGCCATGTGACCCGATTCCTCTGTTTTGTCTTTTTTCCTTGCTTTGTTCTGTTAATGGACGAGTTGACGGTTCTGGGTAAACACAAGAAATACACTGCTACGTTCGTAGAGTGATGCGGTATATATAATTTGTAATCAATTTTAAAGTCCTGCTACAATAGTCGAGAAGTTTATTTCTCTAGAAACAGGACCGCCATTTGCAATGACATCACTATCTTCCAACTCACCGCAGCAGGCGGAGGTAGTACAGGAGAAAGGATGGCCTCTTCAGACCCCAAATGCCACGTTCAGGTAAGTTTTAAGGGTGTTTTTTTTTTATGGTCTATGTCATGGACATTTCCTAAGTGAGGAAATGTGCCGTGAAGAGCAGTTTCAAACATAGGTTGGATAGATATATGAGCGATAGGGGTTGGGTGTAAATAGGACTGCCCAGCATGGGCCAATAGGCCTACTGCAGTTTCCTCCCTTCTTATGTTCTTTTGGGACATAAACTCCCATGTTCACACCAGCTCAGCTGTCATTTACTCTTACCTGGTACACTTTCTCTTTTTTCAGTGCAGTTACAGAGTATATCGGTACTAGATAGAGATACGAGTATATTTAGAAGTAAATGACATTGTCTGGACTTTGTTTTGAGAATGCCTGATGCTAGGTAAACATGAAAACATAGTGTTGTTATTGTTTTGATTCACTAATGAACCACTGGGATATATGATCATTTATATTAATTAATGGGTAAAATTTTACTTTAGCTACCATGAGTAATTGGATGTTTAGATTCGAGATAGGCTATATTGGTAAATTTTAAGTTTTGGTCCTCTACTTAGACATACAGACTGCTTTTCTAATGGTTTGCAATGTGTTATGAACGATTTAGACCTTTTTTTCTATCGGAAATCACTAATTTTGAGTTACTACCCCCCATTACTGATGTGTGTTAAGCTAACCTTGTAACTTATACCCTAACCTAACTTAGCATATTATCTGTATTTTCTCATGCAATCAAAAAATTTTTTGCGGCAGAAATACTTTAGAGATAATGTGCCTTTATTGTTTAAAGTACTTAATCCCAGTTAGAATCTTAAGGTTCCCCAGATGACCAAAATAATACCAATATTGTTTGGAATGTTTAAATTATGAAATTAGTCGAACGAGCAGCTAATATCCATTGAATTAGTTTATGTGCTGAGTAATACTTATATATTCCATATAGTATTACAGGTACTGGGTTGCACAGTAAAACAATTAATTATCTAAGAATAAATATTTACAGAGCCGATCAGTCAAGAAGGTTGGACAACTATAGCTGGCTGCCTCCTGCTCTGCGGCTCACCCCAGCCAGTGGCATCACAACCAATCACAGAGCTTTTTGCAGTCACGTAACTTTTTAGCAACTCTAGCTCTTTTTTTTACTTGGCCCAATTTATTTAAAATATCATTACCCTAGTGAATTTAAGCACTTTCTTTACCCATTGACCTGCCATCTTACAAAAAAAAAGTCCGACCATCAACTGTCCATTGGCTGAAGAGGGTCCTAGTATACCAGCTCTAAGATTTCGTATTTCATTTCTCCAATGTGGGTTTTTACTTAATTTACCAGTGTGACCATTACACTTTTGGAATATGATCTACATATTATCAGCTCACCTTGCAAAGTACAGTAAGTGTTACATTTATTTATTACTGTATTATTTACTTTATTATTACTGTTGTACATTTAAAAAAATATGTTTGTGCAGTAATTACAAATATAATATTTGATGCAGCAGCCAATGCAATGTAACTGAATATGTTTGTTGGTTGGAATAATGAGGAACAATCTTCGGAACATCCGAATAAGGTTCAAAAGGTGAACAGAAAATTAACAAATTATTAGACACAAAAATTCAGAAATTGTTGAAGAATATCTATCAAAATATTTCTAACTCTTAATTCGGATTTTTGGCAATTCGAGTGAATCAGAGTCCTTGTTTGCCAAAATAACAAGGATATAGTGCATATGAAAGGAGAGAATATTCTTGAACCTTCCACAGTATAGAGCTTTATAAATTCCATACTCCATGCCAGTGCCATGATTGAAGTACAATAGAACTTGTATACACGGATTTTTGCCCCCAGACTCGAGGTGCTCTGGACCTCATTTCAAAAAGCCGGAAAATTCAGCATCAGTCCAGTTTGAGTTTTTGTGTGTGTGCGGTTCAATGTCTGTGTTGCAACTTCGCCACTTATACTCACTTACGTGAAGTTTATACGTACAGTACATAATATTGTCTAACAAAGATATGCTGTAGGCTTAACTAGACTCAAATACTGCTTATGTAAACAGGCTGATCGTGGTGATGGGGGGGGGACACCAGGCAATGCCACATTTGCCAGGCTTATTTATTGATTCAATACATATTACATTCAAATAAGATCAGCCTCTTCTGGTGTATGCCATCATAATTCAACATCTTCCATAGAAAAAAAATTACAATATATAATTTGTAACTTTACTTGAAAATAACAGTACAGTATAAGCTGTATCAGAAGGCATTCACTCATGATGCATTCCTGATTTATGAATGCTGGCAAAAGTAGTGCTGGGAGTTGAGTTTCCTTCAGCCTTTTGACTTACCATGTAGACTATTACTTTACATCTGTGAAAATATTTCTTACTGTTTTCTATATTTTGCTCGTCTTTCATTATTTTATATTAGTTTTGTAATGGTAACAAAAGACTCGCCACCAGTCACATCCCCTAGCCCTCACCCTACTACTTCAAGCCAAGCCGTCAGCTATGTTAGTTATTTTTCTACTCATTATTTGGTGCAGATATATGTCATTTTCTTCACACACTTTTCCCCCGTATTCACTTATTCATGAAAAAATTATTAGTGACCCTTTATTCAAGATTCGTAATCTAAATTCAGCTATCCGCGAGGCTATAAGAAAATTTTGGGTAGGTAATTTCTGAGAACAGCATTACCACCAGTTGTTGTTCAATTTCGTTCATTTTTTTTTCACAGATGTTATCATCTTGGTAAATAATTTAAGAGAGGCGACGGAGGGAGAACAACCCGCCACCACCTGCTTGGTAGCCCGCGGTCCCTTTCTAACAGTACAGTACGCAATTCACCATAATTCCCATGTTATTTAGGTTCATTTGGTGCCGGATTAATAAAACCTTATTGAAAAATAATTAATTCACCCCCAAAACCACACTCAATCCAAGATGAGATATTGCACCGTAAAGTATTTTCAAGTCTCTTGTTTACAGAGCAGTAACACTGACCGCTCTCGCTAAGTGTTGCTTACTGTACACACTTTTGGTTTGCTCATCAATGGGTTAGATTAGAAAAATATGACGAGTATTACAGTATTTCAATAAAATATGGAAAACTATTACAAATTAGTCGAATCACTATTTTAAAATTAATTCACAAATGTATGTCCCTGCATACCTCAGCTATGCTATTAATCACTCATTCAGAGAAAGATAATTTAATTTTAGAGTGGGAGTCAAGAACAATGCTTGGTCATACATTTACAGGTAATATGAATTAAAAGAACACTCCCTGTACTTACTCTCCAAATGCTCCTTCTCCCAAGGTCTGGACAACATTCCATCCCACCACAAACTCTGAAACTGGTCCAGCCATGGTGGTACTGGGACCGTGCTTCTACTTCCGGACACATAACCTGAAAATGTAGATGGCATTAAAAAAATATACAAAGAATACCAAATTTATATCTACTGTATAGGAAGTAGTAAAACCTCACTAAGGCAGACCCCTCTTAAGCCGTACAAAATTATTTGGGAAAAGAATAAATAAATAAATAATTTGTTGTAAGATAACACGCTCCCTCACAAATATGTGCTGAATATGGAATTTCAAAACACTCAGACTCAAATGTGACTGCAATCCTCTTGCAGTGAGAGGTATGTCCTTCATAAAAAATTGGATACTTTGGTGGTGTACTTTTTTGTTTTAAATACTTTTGTTTAAAATAGAGGTCTTTTTTGATAAATTTGTTCCAAGGCAGACAACTTCTTATCCCGGACACCCCTTCCCCCCAACTAGTCAGTTACTAGATACATAACATTTACTTGGTCAAAGTTTGCATTTCTAGAATTGTTACAAAAGATCAATGATCATTCAATTCCACACAAGATTTTACCACTACATTATTCTCAATACTGTACCAGTTCATGTTTCATAATAATGGAAGCCCCTCGAGATCGAGGATGGCCGGCCCAAGGGCCTCCTAGGCGTGAATTTGTTAAGGTGTAGAAACTGTCGCCAACACAACAACCACACCCTAAGTTAACAAACTGCATAACCCAGTGTCAAGGAATAGTCCGAGAAGACTGGACAGCTCGCTAACTGCATTGGCTAACCATTACCCCGGAATACGATCCGCAAATAGATTAACATCCAGGTTACCAATTACTGCTGGGTAGACTGCCATGTTTCATAAAAACTTGTTGAAACACTTGTGCTTAAAAGATCAAAGATCTGGTCATTCCACAAGACAAAAATGGTGACAAACTGTTCAAGAGCATCCTCACCAAAGATCACACACACAGCTCAAAATAAGCAGGATCATTTTGTCTGTTTCTACCAGTTACACTAATGGCTATTGATATCTACTTATAATCCAGAGGCTCCCTATGTTTCAACTTTGTCCACTAGTGTTCAATGACCTCTCATTCAATTTCATTCCCATTTCCTGTCAAGGAAATATCAATTACCACCCACATTTTGTTCCAACATAAGAATATAATGCTTGAAGTAGGTTTCAAAACTTAATACTATATTTATTTATATATTAAAATTTTATTAGTTTTTTTTCATTAGTTATTATTATTATATCCCCCCCCCCAGGCCCTAATGTGGGTCAGCAACCTGTGCTCAGGTGGGCTAATCCCTGTATAAAAAATATATATTACAAAAGAAAAAAATTTTAAAGACAAAGACCCAACCAGACCTAGCCAAAAAGACAGTGGTTTGGGCTAACCAACTAACCCTCCCCCCAAAAAAAATTATTATACTGTACAGTACCTGTATCCATAATCAAACTTATTTCTTATATACCTAAAAAATAATCTCAGTTGGGTTGAGGAATAACAATATTTGGTATTTAGTACAGGTTTTTTCTACCCTGCCTTTTCCATTCATAAATAAAGACAATCCAGGGCACCCAACAATGCCACCGTTCTGTTCGGTTTAACTGTTTAAACGAACAGGAACATTCTGTTTTACACCAAGAAACTGCAACTTTAGAAAAAGCAAGGTGGAATTCCTTTAACCAATTTCATTTATTCTTTAAGTAAGAAATAACCTGATGGATGCAGCTTTAGTATATCAGTTATCTTGCCATCAGAGAAAGTGCTGTGCCATTGTGCACACACAGTGGGCCATATTGAAGATCGTTTTAAGTGGACTTTCCTCATGAGGAATCCTCATGATGAGCTTTGACCAAGTCATGGGTGTTGGTCGTATTCTGGGTGGTACAAATCGCGGGGTTTAGGTGGAACTTGTGCCACGTCTGCCAACAAAGGAAAAAAGGGAATGGTGGTATGCCGAATGTGCACAGCTGATCACAATTACTGTTAGTTATGGGCAATAAAAATCAAATAAAGCTATACTGAAGCAACAGAATTATCATATGCCCGTATACTGTATTATGCAAAGTACAAATCTTGTGGTACTTTTTTTACAAGTTGCCCATAATCTGCCGAGTCCCCGCGTGTCCTCTGTTGGTTTACAACTGGCATACTCGGTCCAAGTGTACTCTTACGTCCACATAAAATGTAAAATTATACCATGACGCTTCAATAAAGTTGCTTTCATTGGTACCAGATAACAAAATAAGTACTTTCTGTTTAATAAGGTGGGGTCGGGGGGTGTGGGGCTGGCTAGGGAGTTAGGTAGGTTTCTTTGGTTGCTTAGGTCAGGTTCTATTACGTTCACTATTATTCATCTGCGACAAATGTATAGAATGAAAGGTACTCAGAATGATGAGATATATATCTAACCAAAATATTTGGCCAACCGACTAATTCCGCCGCCTATACAGTACATATTCGAAAAAGACGTCAAGTTTAAGAAAATTGTCTTCTATTACATTGTTGTTGCCAAATCTTTCTCTATTTTTTCCATTAATCTTACGCCATTATCGCCTACCCCACCTCCCACTCAGCGTGTTCCCTTCATAAATAGTCATGAGCATGCGTTCCCATACACGTCACACAGCCAATCAAATGCGTTTTGGGGGGGGGGACTACCAATTAAAATGAATTGTGATTACTGCTTCTAGAATTTGCGGTATTTTTTTGCCCAACCAGATTCGATTGTGATTTTGGGTCTCATATTTCGAAATTCAAATTAATTTCTGGCCATGGAAGTCTGTAATAGGTGTCACTTCAATTATATGGAGTTGATTGCGCGTTTGGTGGAAAAAAACGAACACGCAATAGCATTTTTCTGATCTCATGGTGTTCTCCCGACCTCATTAAAAAGTCCAAAGTGTAATAAGAAGTTTAAATATCGTCAAGACCAACATAATTGGCATTGTAGTAACTCGTTCTTTATTCCCAAGACCTGTACTCAGAATCCGACGACGAACCAGAACCGGGACAATAAGGTAAGAAATAACAGTGATTCCATCATATGGTGAGAGTTTGTTTGGTAATGATGCAGTTTACAGCAACCACAGATTACCGGAAATTTACTACACTCAATCGCTAGAATTATTTTTTATATGATCATTTTCTTACATTACACTTCCGTCGCAAATTGATAATATGGAAGTTAATGAATTTTAAAAATAATAAAATCAGAGCACCTGTTGCCCCCTACGCTGTTGCTCAAATTGTGTGTGTTCGTACGTTCGCTTACCTCCCGCGCATGTGCCGGCCGCCAATCAAAACAGGGGTGGCTGCAGCCAATCAAATCTAGGACGGGGGCAGCAGCTAATCAAATCCAATAAAAAAATCTCAACTTTCGATTCAACCTATTAGCAATCAATATTCGACGTGGGTGCGAGACATTTTTAATCAGTTGCAACATGGAGCTATTAAGTGCTGGGTGCAATTTCGATTATAGGAAGTTTATCGTATTTCATTCTAAAAATAAGGAAACTTTAGAGAACAGAGGAACCCACGGCGCATTCTGGTCCCCGACTCGGGGTAAGGTAAGAAATACTGTAACAGCTATTTATATTCTCGTGGAGGCTAACCACGGGACTCTTAGAATTATTACATAGCGTTTGGGTGTCCGGCTAAGGTCAGCGAGGGTCCGGGGTTAGGTAAGGTTTAGTTTGGTTATATGGTAAAAGTTAGCAAGCACAGAGTACCAGGAATTGAGAACACACAATCGATAAAACTAATATGAGGGGGACGGGGGCTAAATCACAAAAGAAATATTTCTGAAAAAAACGAAGGTCTGATTTGAACTAATCCCACCATAACCCATCAGAAAACCATTTTTTTTTTCAAATTCCTTAGTTGCTGTAATATGCACACTTACCGTTTGGTTACGGAAAATCATCATGAGTTAGGTTAGGTCAGGTTAGGTTTAAATGTTTTTCTAGTGTTATTTGGTGTATTTTTTATTCACTTGGCCATGATTTGTCGGAAAATGACCCACCCAAAACCCCGGTTCCCAACAGGATCCCCTATCTTGTTGGGGGTAGAAGGGGGCGATAACTAAAAAACAGACAATTTCCGACGGAAATCAAGATCAGAACCAAAAACCACTCCCTATCATCCATGAATCTATCTAGCCTCCTTTTAAAACTCTCCAGCATTCCAGCACTTACTACAAAGTTGCTAAGCTTGTTCCACTCGTCCACCACCCTATTTGTAAACCAGTTCCTTCCTATCTCCCTCCTGAACCTAAACTTATCCAACTTAAATCCGAGTCCTTTCCTGCTCGGATATTATAAGAACTTTATCTATATCACCTTTATTGATTCCTTTCACCCACTTAAATACTTCTATCATATCTCCCCGCACTCTTCGTCTTTCTAGGGAATGCAAGTTTAGTTTCTTTAACCTATCTTGATATGGAAAGTTTCTAAGTCCCGGAATCATTTTCGTCACTCTTCGCTGCACCAACTCCAGTGAATTGATATCCATTCTATATTAAGGGCACCAGAACTGAACCGCATAATCGAGGTGCGGCCTGACTAACGCAAGATATAGTTGCAATAAGACCTCTGCACTCTTATTACTTACACTTCTAGATATAAAACCTAATACTCTGTTTGCCTTATTTCGAACATTAACGCACTGTTTTCTAAGCCGTAGGTCCGGGCTTACAAGTACCCCCGAGTCTCTCTCACAAGTCGACCTTTCTAGGTTGATGTTGTTAAGGCTGTATACGTTGACAGTATTTGTTCTACCAATATTTAGTACACTGCACTTGCTGGTGTTGAATTTCATTTGCCATTTCTCTGACCACTCCTGCAGTTTATTTAAATCCTCTTGTAGTGCATTTGCATCCTGCCCTGAATTAATCTGCCGCCCTATTTTGGTGTCATCCGCAAACTTGCTTGTGTGTGTGCCGATTCCAAAAAATGTGAGTCTTTCTTTGGAGAAGTGCGTAACAAGAAAGTTGCAGTACTTTAACTATAGTTAATGTAGGTTAGATTAGGTTTTATTGCACTCATCGAACTACAAGTTTTGCCAAAACCACCACAGATTTACTTCACTCCGACCGTTCTGTAACGAAAAACAGACTAAAGCAACTGAGGCCAATAATGTTAACATTTCAATGTAGAACATTGAAAGCCTAAAGGGCTATTCAACCCCCCCTCCCCCCAAAAAAATGAATTGGCATAAAAGTCTACATTAAGTGAAAATATTCTCATTTTGTTAAGTGCAGTACATGAAACTGAAAAAAATACATATCTATTTAACATTGTAATTAACCTTTCCAGAAAGTTTTGTCCAATTTTATCAACGCCTTCTGGTGTTTGTCCCAAAAAACCCTATGCCAACCGGACAAATATCCACAGCGTAAATTATATATGTACCTATATCTGATACTTTACAAAGTTCCCAACTAGCTGAATATCAATAACAGGTTGTAATTTTATGCCCCTCCCCCCAAAAGAAATTATATATATATATATATATATATATATATATATATATATATATATATATATATATATATATATATATATATATATATATATATATATATATATATATATTCACACACAACCGTAACATAATACCCTGGTTACTACTAAAATCTTCTAATACAGGGTAGAGGAACTAAAATATTATGATCGTAAAGTAACAAACAAGGGGCAAACCCTCACCACTTTACACTTGTACTGTATTACAAATTTACTAACTGCATAAATACTTACACAGCCGTACCCACAACATGTGGAGTCAATAAGGACGGATCTGGGCAATTAAACTCTGTATATAAAAGTGGTCCTAAAGTAAATAAAAGTTTAGCGTAGTGAGGCAGAGTGGGCAGGACGGGCAGGCAGGCCAGGGCATGGCGGGCGCCGGTCTTCGCCATCAGCTGTTCACTACCACCACCTGCCCAACCATCACCACTATTTCTCCTCTTTAATTCAAGTTTTCATCACTTCAATATCATTAAGCATTACTGTTTAAGCGTCAACCATCCTCAATTAACGATCAAAGGTCGAAATATAAGTACATATGACTGGAAACTGTTAGGTATTTGTTACAAGATCTTGGGGCTAGTGAACACGTGGGGCACTTTAGGCCTAACCCGAATACTTGCACACAATACTCAGGATAATGGTGATTTTCTACTTACATGCTTGTAGTTCTTACCTATTTGTGCAATGTTCGTGGGCATTACATATTACCGACTACATCTCGCTATGTGATGAGTTACCAACAAAGGAAACGTAGCTTCTACAGAGGTAAATTCCAAGGAGTAAATGAAAGCCACGCTGACTGAGCTTTTTCGCGCCGACTTGAGACTCTAGCGCCATCTGGGTACACTTCACCACCCGCCACAGTAATAGTCACACCACAATGGTCTTTATATCTTCACAAGTTGGTGTTTGGTCACAGAGAATACCTTAGAAATATTAACATGTACAAAACAATTATTTAATTGAAGTTACTGATTACATACTGCAGAGTATTTAACAAAGTTGAATTTATTTGCAGGAGCACCTTTATACATATTGAAATTTTGTATTAATTTTTATGTAATAAATGCGATAAAAAAATTATATTGTGGAAAATTCACTTTTAAAATCTTGTTATTTGGTTAGTGGTAAATGTGTGAGTCTGGCGTCACTATTAGTCGCCCCACCTCGGGTTGTGTCCCAACCCCCAAGTGTTTGTTTGAAATAAGACCAAGGCACCTCTACTGTGCTTGAGTCTCGGTACGTTGTACACCTTTTGCATTATTCACATAATCATAGGGGAAAAGAGGGCGAGAAAGCTGAGAAGCTCTGTGATCCCATTAAAAAGTTTCCTTGGACAGGAGGGAAAATATCTTTCGATACCTTCAAAATTCCAACCTGTTGAAAGGCCTATTTTGGTTATTCCATTGATCATCGTGATAAAGGGACCGGCTTCAAATTGCTCCCTTGCTTCATGCATAGAGTGAATGGGGACGATATGAACAATATTTCTTTAAGATTCAGTTTCCATTGAGTGAAGATCAAGTTTTTCTTTGGAAGACTTGAACAATATAGGATACTGTACCGGATACCAGGATTCATTTTTACAAAATAGTAAAATAGGCTTACACTAGTTTTCTGTAATTACTTATAAATAGATTAATGTTATTTATGTCTAGTTCTGGACGTAGGCATCAGACCAGTGTGTCATCTTATGTATGAATGTGTCGTCCTTCAAATACAGGTAAGAACATGCTCCTTCAGCTGGATATCATAGGTCCCTTTCTGGACTAATGTATATGATTACCATAAGTCTGGGGCTTTCTCCATCCGGACAAGTTTGATAAATGTCTACAAATGTATGGGATTTTGCCCTGCTCGTTCTTTTTCAAACATTTAAATCGAAACAATTTACCAATTACACTTTCCAAAATAGAAGATCTACCAATCACATTTCAGGATGCTTTCATTCTGCCAAATTCTAAAATAAATATGCTAGGCCTCATCATTTACTCTCATTTGTCATGGAAGCCACACATCCACAACATTGCTAAAATTGCCTCCCGAAAGCTAGGAATGCTGTACAGATGCCGTAGCTTCATTTTTTTTTTTTTTTATTATCGGGCACTCCCCTACATCCTTGTGAATGGTGAAGCACAGAAGCGTTTTACAGCGCCCAACAGGGAAGCATGCTAAGTTCATGCTTGCCTTTATGTCTCATGAGTTAAGGGTGTAGAAGCCTGAAGAGTCAATGGTTTATGTCTAAACAAGTTATTGGAAGCTCCAAAAACTTGTCCCTGAATACGAATTCGTAACTTTCGATTTACAGCAGGTACCTACTTTGCTGCTAGGTGAACAGGGACCAAGGGAGGCTGGGAAGTGTGTCCGAACAACTTTCCACTGGCCCGAGAATCGAACCCGTGACATCTCCTGAGCAGTTGCTTTAAGTTCTGAAGGGATTCATTCGTCCTAACTTGGAGTACTATCGTCAATAAAACATTAATTTACAAGTCACCAGGAATCAATTTTATTGTACATGAGTTGGTTTTAATTACATGTTCAGGGTCAGAATATGGAAAATAGTTGTGATGCTAATTGATGTGTTTTATTATACAGTATGGTCTGCATTTACGCGGTCAATTGAACCCGTGGAGGTCCGCGTAAAACGAGAAACGCGTAAACGAAATAACAGAACATATGGGATTAATTGAAATAAAGACTGGGCCGATCCCTAAACTACACTTTTTCCGACACAATACGTACGTTGTAAAAATAACATCTTAATTTTATGATGGTATGCACACACAATTAATATTTAAGAGAAATATCAATAATATTAGGTTTTTTAACACTTACGGTAGTAGAAAAGATGGCTGGGCACACGGGGATGGGGGGTTGGTTCCGAGGCAGAGGGCAGATTATTGGCTCTCACCTGTATCACTTGCATCAATTGTATGACTATTCACCACAGAGGCTTGCACGGCCTCTTTGTCAAACCCCTCAAAGTCCATATCCTCACTATCACTGACTTGGGCCGGCTGTGGTGGGTGGCGGGTGAAGAACTCGGTAATGTTTTGATGACTGGGCGACCTTGTGCGCACCCTGCCCGCGCCGCTTCCCACGTAAATAATGAAATTTACCGCGTAATTAAAACATTTCGTTCTGGCAAGGCACCGCGTAAATGACTAAACGTGTAAACAAAATCTGCGTAAATCCAGACTACAGTGCACTGTACTGTAGATAAGCATCAGATTAGTTACTTTAATTGCCTCTATTATGTCATAACTACCTCTGATTGTGCTGACCATAATCTATATCGACATCTAATTGTCGAAATCTAGAGACCTAAACCATATACAGTACTAAAATAAAAATGTGCTTATGAAATAAACTAACTTTGTTACATAAAATAGACACTTATGCAGTTGAAAGTGAAACTGATGGTGGAGCTCCAACACATTTCCGGGCACCGTTAAAGACAATTCTGCAAGATTTGAAGTATGCATAATTTGTATTTTACCTTTCTTTTAGATGTCTTGTAATGGATACTCTCCCCTACAACTGCCGATTTGTCGCTTACCAGCCAACCCGCGGTGAGTTCCATAGACCAAGCCTCGCTTTCGGACTGCACGGTGATTGGCCAGTTACCGCCTTTCACCTCAGCCAATCAGCAGCGCCGCTCACTTCCAGCAGAATCATATAAATACCCCCAGCCTCGCCGTGAAGGTCATTCTACTCAACGCTCTCAAACAGACAAGACCTCCTCTCAACAAGCTCCTCCCCACACAGCAACTCCCTAGCACTGCATTGTATATATATATATATATATATATATATATATATATATATATATATATATATATATATATATATATATATATATATATATATATATATATATATATATATATATATATATATATATATATATATATATATATATATATATATATATATATATATGATACCTTTATAATTCACATCTTCCAGAACCGGAATTTCATTTTATGCGGTGCATCTACTCATATACACGGGTGAAGTATAATTTTTTAATTTAGCTCATAAAATTCATACAAATTACTCGGCCAGAATATAATTTACATTGCTGGAATTCTTACAATATGATGATCATTTTGAATATAAACATCATTGATTTTGCATTAGACATACAAATTTTAGACCTAATGTAATAATTTGGTTTACACAGCAAATATTTTATCTTTTGTGCAAAATATATGAAGTTTACATTCAAAATATTCCCTGACCTGCAAGGAATCCAGAAATGGCAATTATATTATCCTAAGTTTAGTCTGAGGTATCATTTATTACTATACCTTAAAATCTAGTGTTTCTACCCAAACATTTCTCAGAGAGGTAAGAGCCAGCGAGCTGGGAAGAGGGGGGGGAGTTGAGTCCATTATTTGAATGAACATTAACCTGGCGACTGTATTTCTCTTAAATATTAATTGTGTGCATACCATCATAAAATTAAATGTTATTTTTACTACAACATAGGTATTGTGTCGGAAAAAGTGGAGTTTGGGGGTCAGGCCAGTCTCTATTGGAATTAATCCCATAAGTTCTGTTATTCCATTTACGCGGTTTTTGTTTTACGTGGTACCCCGTGGGTTCAATTGACCGCGTAAATCGGGGTATCACTGTGTGTGTGTGTGTGTGTGTGTGTGTGTGTGTGTGTGTGTGTATATATATATATATATATATATATATATATATATATATATATATATATATATATATATATATATATATATATATATATATATATATATATATATATAGTGATATATATATATATATATATATATATATATATATATATATATATAAAATGCCATTGTGAGTTTCCCTTCTCACCTCCATCCTTAATGCGAGATCTCCTACATGTACGTATGTATGTGAGCCTAACAAAGAGAAATTTGACAACTGGCCACATACACTACGCTGCAGTCTCGGGTTGATGGGGTTCCATAAATACTGTGTACTGGTTATTTGATATTGACAGACACTTCGAGATGATTAACAAATGTTTTTCTTTAATCTTAATTGATGATATTGCTAGTTAAATGACCAAGGCTAAAGAATAGCCACCTTTATATATTACAGATTAAGCCTGATAAAATCAGTACATTACCGTTAAGCCGAGGCATAATTTGGTATTATAAATTTTGTAAACTAGGTGTTTTGATTATTTTTTATCCCAAGCAGCAGTTATTTTGGCAAGTTTGGGGAGATTTTCTTGTTTATATTGATGTATTACTTACTTAAGAATATTTTAGAATGCAGTGCATCATTTTTGTTATGATTTACTTGCGTATTGTAAGCCTAGATCATTCTAGAACTCTCCAGTCACATCTCGTGCCTACCTGGATATTTCTAGCATGCACTGGGCGTCTGACAACTACGAGACGTATGTAAACACCCACGCGACACTAGCAGGTTGACCATTTCTGTTCAGAGTGTAAAGTACAAGCTTAGTAGGACAACTGAAGATAATTGTTCTGCAAGTGTTTTGGAATTGTTGTGATCAATATAAAGGTGAAAATACTAAGGAATTGTAAACTGGTAGTGTGCTGACTATATATTCGAAGTGACAAGTCCAACTGTGAAGACATTACCCTGTGGACAGTGTTGAGAAGAATTAGAGATTATTAAAGAAGACTACAGTGCGCAAGTGTGTTTCTGTGACTTGGTGGAAATCTACCTGTCTGTTGGTTGTCTGTACACTGATACCGCTCGTCGGGAAATTACCAGAGACTGGCGGGACAGCCAGTGGTAATTTGACAACACTAGTGATATATCTACTGCTTCTGTACATACAACCTGGCTGCTGGTAACCAGTGGTGGAAGCTGGGCAAGCAGTGAAAGGACGATCGTAACAATACATTCCAACTGACATGGATTCAGTTAAGACAATAACCTTTAAAGTCAGCCATTTCAAAGATACATGAGATAACTTGAGGGAATTACACTGTCTCCGTATCGTCTACAGTTCAACATTGTCTGCGTGGACTTCCTGCATTCTCATAGTCGACTCGTTGGCCGCTTGGGCGATCAGTCACATTTCTGTTATGCACTGTTGGCAAGTACTGGGTCTGCACTGGCTCCTAAATGTATCTGAACCTGCTTCCGTGCTGGTCAAGCCTGGTCTTAAAACAGCTCACACTCGGTGCCGTCACAACACTGGCAGGTTGTTCCACGAGTTCACAACTCTCACTCTGAAAAAGTTTGCCCTAACAAGAAAGAGAATAAAAGAGGAGAAAAAATAAAAAAGAAAGATAATCAGAAAGAAGATAGAATAAGAAGAAAAGAAACATCTACAAAAAACAATAATAAGAAAAAACAATTAGAAAATAAACAATAGGAAGAAATAAACAGTAAGCATCAAAAAGCATTAAGAATAAAAAAAGTAAATAGAAAAAGAAACAATACAGTATACCTGGTAATAAAATAAATAGTAAGAGGAAAATAAACAGTAAGAAGGAAAGAGACATGGTAAGAAGGAAAAACAATATGAAGAAAATGGCAGTAAAAAATGGTAGAAAGAAAAGAATCAGAAGAAACCACAAGAAGTATAAAGAAACAGTAAGAAGAGAAGGAAAGAGTAAGAGGAAGAAATGGTAAGAAGGTGAAAAAGAAGAAACAGTAAGAGGAAAAATAAACAGTTACATTAGATGAAACAATAAGGAAACGAGAGAAACAGTAAAATGAAGTAGAAACAGATAGAGTAAACAAATTACACTCCCATCCTTATGCCAGGCTAGCATTAAGTGCAGGTATTGAATTTCTATACAGGTGTTGACTGTTATACAGGGTGTAACAAAAGTCCAGAGTCATAGGTTTATTTTATTAAATGTTCAAATTGTAGTCCGTGGAGTGTCAAGCAGTTATAAACATGCGGTTTTATACTTCAGTGTACACAACTGATTTTAAATGGCCCCATAAGAAAAAGTTTAAAGGAGTTTGGTGTGATGATCTGGGAGGCCATTCAACTGGTCCACTTCGACCAATCCTGGTATCTCGGAATCTAACCACCCACATGTTATCAAAGGCAAATGTGCAGGAGCCCCATCCTGTTGAAACCAGAAATGTTGACTCATTAAAAGTGGCATAACTTCTAAATAAGGCTGCAAGACTTCATTCAACTTTGCAACATATGTGTCCCCAGTGTTACGATACAAAGCGAGTTTTTAACCCGCCCCTCCCGTAACAGATTCTTCAACCTGTTTAATAAGGAAAATTACCTTAAAAGTTCAAACTTACTCTATTTATTTACAAAAGTATAACTAAAGCTGATGATGGAATTTTATACAAAATATTTACAACAAAAGAAATCAGAAAACTCGAGTAATAATAATAAATGAACATTAAATCCTAACCATCAAACTATAATATATAATCACTAAATCCTAAACATCACCATATAAAAAATAATACTATACATCCTAAACATCACCATATAAAATATAATCACTCTGGGGTCTGGAGCAATAAGAGTTCACTAACACTCGATACATATGGTTTAGGAGACAGGAGACCAGATGTTGACTTCACTGCCGATACTCAGTAACTGACTTTGGAGCACACCAGATTTTCCACCTCCTGACCAGGACCAATCACAGGGCTCCACATACTATGGTACTAAGACCAGCCAGTTATACCCTAGACCAGTGGTTCTCAACCTGGAGCCACAGCAAGAATTTAGGGGAGCCACGGCGAGCTGTTATAAATTGTACGTTTCCAAATAATGTTGGGAATCTGAATTAAACAAAACTTGTATTACTTATTTTGACTTGGCATAAGAGAAATTTCATTCTTTTTTTTTGTCATTTTGTTTAATCATAACTACAATACAATTTTAATATTTACATACTCTGGTGCTTTTTTTATTTTTTACGGATTATTTAAGATTTCACAGGTCCAGTCTCTGTCTGTGTAACAGGCACTGGACCGAGCTGCTGAACTGACTTGTTCAGTACGTGTCCGTGTGTCATCCCTTTGCAAGTGGTGTTAGGACCGAATGGGGGGTTTGGGAGAAAAATGAAGGAGGCCACAAGGATGTTGAAAATTCCTCAAGAGGGGAATGGAGTGAATAAGGTTGAGAACCACTGCCCTGGACTGACTGATGGCCAGTGCCATCTTGTGACAAGTCTTTCCCCATAAACTGAGGAAGTAGTTCATCATAACACCAGATACATTAGCATAAAAGAATATGGTCAGAGCAATTCCATATCATGGGTACCACACCAGCCCATTACCTTCAGATCATTTTGAACATGTCTAGTTCTCATCTGCCCAGTATCGGCAGATAAAATGTAGCCTCATCACTGAACAAGATATTGGAGTAAATGGAAGGTTGCATCACTTCCATAAGCATATGATTCCAGACTTTTGTTACACTGTACAATGGGGCTAAGGATTTTGAAAAGCCATCGTAAGGTGATTGATCGTATATTGATATTAATTTAGCATAATGGTCACTAACGTAAATTAGGTCCTCTCATCATATGCTAATTGGTTGCGACATAGTTTATGTCACGTTAAGCTACAGTTCCTTAGGCTTCGTTAAGGGCTCCTATGAGCCCAGATCTGTAAAATAACTCATTTTATATGACTTGGCAGCTTGTGGCTATAAATAGATGAGTGTGGAGGTTGCAAAAACAGACAATGCGGAGTGAGTGTGGTGAAGGAAGGAGCGTCGCTTAATTTTCTTCTTTTTTATTACTGTTACATATACAGTATACTATACACACAATCTTTCATGCAGAATGTGAAAAAAATCAAAAGGTAAAAAATATAAAGCAATAAAAATGTCTTTGTGTGAGCTGTCACCCATGTTATGGTTATTTTTAACTCATAACTTTGGGTAGATATTCGTAGTTTTCTTATTTTGTTTTTAAATATATTGGGTAAAAAGCAAAGGGAATAAACATTTCGTACATGCACAGGATCACACAGAGCAGGAGAAGGGGGAGTGGAGTAGGGGTTCTCAGCTGCTCTCTATGTTCCATGCATAGTGACACACTTGCCAAATGGCAACTCAATATATACAGTCGACAGTATTTTTTATTTATTATATTTTTTTTCTCTCTGGCTGAGTGCAAAGAGGGCCAATGTAAAAAAAATGCCAATTTAGACTTTGGCCCTTTTTGTACTCAGCCAGAGATTAATTTCTCACATTTACTGGTACAGTATATACTGTACAGGTATATGTATTATTTTATGTACAAAGAATAGCTTCTTCAGCTGTTGAGCCAGGCAGTCAGCAGGGGCGGGCAGAGCCTCCCACGCTGCGAGTTATTGCACATCACTTTTCACAGCAGTGACAATGCAGGAAAATTATTCAGGTAGCAATCATTGTAAAACTAATCATAGCCATTGCATAGCGGTAAATAGTGTTAATTTTTTAACTTCATAAAACTGATCGATTGTATATAGATCCACAATATAACGTTCAAAACCTGTAAACTGTACAGTACTGCACCCTATTCATGACCATATAAGATGTGCATTTTGATGGCTGGGAATGACATGTGAAAGTTTTATGTACATTACTATATTATTTTATTTTTGCATGGAAAGGAGGAGGAAATCCTCCCATTAAGGGAGGGTTTACAGGCAACCAGGATATCCCCCTGGCTACAGCCCTGTTTGTCATAATAATTGAGTTCAATAGGAGTGCAGCAGCTGAGTGCATACAATACATACTGTAATGTACTCGCCATTTGCCCTAACAATTGTTGGGTTAATCCCAGGGCTCTCAATCTAATCAGCTGCAATTGAGTACCTAACTTTATAAGTTGGAAAAGTAAAAATGGTCTAGTGCAGTGCCTGGCTCCCTGCTTACTGATGGCTTAGTTTAAAGCACAGTTTGTTCTAGCAACACTGTCCGTAATGGGCAGCTATGCCTAAAGGATCCACTTTCTTTTTCAATGAATAAGACATACTGGACTAATTCAAGCAAACCCTATCCCAAATTAGGAGTATTCCAATGTCTGACATGTCTTTGATCTGCCATTCGGGAGGATCTGGTAGATTTCATAGAGTGCAACACGGGTGTTACTAGTGAGGCTCTGTCAATAAAGATAGTGGCTAGTCTTCAAGAGAATGGGCTAGATTTGCAAGGTCAGGCGTGTAACGGAGCAAGTAACATAATAACATAGCCGGAAAAACCAAGGGTACTGCTGCCATCATCCTGAAGGACTACCCTCTAGTCATCTACACCTGCTGTGTTGCTCACTGCTTGAATCTCACAGTCATGAAGTTGATGCAAGATACTAGAGAGTTTGATTTATACTATTGTATTACCTATGCTTTGTTGCCAGTCTTTCTGGCTCTCTCAAACAGTTGTTGATATACAGTATATTTGCATGTTTTTATTTTATCATTACAGGTCCAAAACATAATGAGCATCTTGGGAGAAATCTCCATTTTCTATGAAGTGCATCCAAAAAGAGCCAAGTGCCTGAAGGCAACAATAGATGAAATACAACCTGATTAATCATGCAAGAAGCTAAAAGATTTATGCCTCACTTGATGGGTCCAGTGCTTAGATCCTCTGACAACTTTCTTGCAACTATACCCTGCTGTTGTGTGTCGTTTAGAGACTATCACAGAGGAACATGCGAGTTGGTTATCCGATTCCTTCAGTGATGCCAAGACCTTCTTGCTATCCATCACCAGCACAGAGTTCATCTTGGCATTGGAGATGACCAACTGTGGGTTGAGCTATCTGAGGAGTCTGAAATCCAACTTGCAAGTAGAAGTCAAGAACATCATGGAGGCTTTCTCCAAGATCAACTCAGTGATGAATGCTCTAAAAGAAGAAGTCTGTCAGTATATCAACACCTCCTCTCCCATCTGATGGCCCAGCAATACCAGCAGAAAAGTCTCCACTCAAAAATATTGTTTCTGTTGCAAATCTGATGTCTTTCCTAATGCCTTTAATCTCACTTGTTAAAGCAATATATAGTAGAAGTCCAAAAATCCAGATGCCAGAAATCCGGACCACCCGAGAACCCGGACTTTTCGAAAACTCTAAAACTTTTTAAATTTAGCGGGCTTTTGTGTGTGCGCGCGCATGCGTGAGCGCCACAGCTGCACAGCGACAACAAGCTACCACGCGATCGCCATTTTAAAACGAGCAATCAAACTGTGACAACGTATGTAATTTTGTGTTCTACTCTTTCCATTTACCATATACTGTATAGCATATGTATTTACAAGCCCATAATAATGGCTCCTAAAGTAGATAAACTTCGTTGTTGAAGAAAAAGAAGAACACGTTGAAATTGAGTGACAAACTTGAAGTAATTAAGAAACTAGAACGTGGTGTGAGCAATACTGTTCTAATGGAAACATTCGACATCGGAAAGTCTACAATTTACGATATAAAAAAGGTAAATAATAAAATTCTAGAATTCACAGCCTCGTCCGAGCCTTACAATAAAATTGCTGAAAGAAAAAGTTTACATCGGCCAAAATTAGGAAATCTCGATCGTGTTGCACGAATGTTTTTTGTTAAAACGATCAGAAGGTATGGCAATTTCTGGGCCGATGCTTATTGCCAAAGCAAAGTCTTTTAAGGAGCAAATGAACATTGAATCGGAGTGCGCATTTAGTGATGGATGGCTTAGGAATTTCAAGACTCGTCATGGTATTAGACAGTTAGATATTGCTGGAGAAAGACAGTCGGCTGATACACAAGCAGCAACAAAATATAGTGCAACATTTGAAATTTTTTTAACTGACTATGATCACGCAGCCGATCAAATTTATAATGCTGATGAAACAGGGGTTTACTGGAAGTGTTTGCCAACAAAAACTTTGGCTGGAAACCAAGAACGAAATGCAACAGGGTTTAAGCTGGAAGACAACCCTCTATGCAAACTTAATGCTGCTGACATAGAAGAGTGGATATGCACTGAAGATGATATTGAAGTTGCAGCCACTTTCACTGGTCAAGAAATCATTACAACTCCTGATAAGATAGAAGAGAATTATTCAGAAGAATCTGGTGAAGACGACGACAAAGTTGAAGAAAAGATATCTTGGGCTACTGCAGAAAAGTGCATTGAAGCGGTTATTAAATTTGTGGAACAGAACCATAGCTTCAGTCTTCAAGACATCATGCATGCACACATGGTGCAGAATAATCTTATCACAAAGAAATTACAAAGTCGTAAACAAGGTGATATACGAAATTATTTAAAGAAAGCAATAGAAGCGTCTAGCAGTGCAGCAGATGCAGTAGAAGCTGCAAGTGTTCCATCCACAAGCAGTGCAGCAGACGATACAGAAGTCGTGGAAATGAACAAATAAATATTTATTTGTTTTGTACTTTGTATATTATATGGAAATGTTTCATTAATAAACTAAAAATAAATAACCAATTTGTATAAAATAACTTATGCTTTCATTTGTTTACTGTATTTTTCTTTTACAATGTTCATTTTTAAACATGATTTTAAGCATTACACTCCCTTTTTTTTTTACTGAAAAATCTTTGTTTACATTTTTGTCAAGTGTTGACTTTATTTTTCTTTAAAACTGCTCGTTTTGATAAATGAAGCATGCTGTATTTGCTAATGAATAAACTATCAAAATTTACCTGTTCATCTCTTCTTTATTCCTCCTTAAATTTGAATTTTAAGAGTACTGCCCGAGAATTCGGAAAATCAGGACCGACCCAATCCCCGAGCAGTTCGGAAAATATATATACGGTATATATATATATTTCATTTTTAGTCCATATAACACGTGGACTTTGAACATATAATCAACGACCTCACCAGCCAGGACTCGAACCCTGGACCTAATGCATGGGACCAGGGAACGCTACCGACCATACCACAAGAGCACTGTTAAATTTGCTCTTGTGGTATGGTTGGTAGCGTTCCCTGGTCCCATGCATTAGGTCCAGGGTTCGAGTCCTGGCTGGTGAGGTCGTTGATTATATATATATATATATATATATATATATATATATATATATATATATATATATATATATATATATATATATATTCAGGGTTGTTATGATTTAAATCAGAGTAAATAAATCATGATTTAAATCAAAATGATTTTTTTACTAATAACTGTTTTCTCTTTTTATTCTACATGATTGAAAAGTATATGCAATGCAGCAGGCTAATAACATCAAGATGATTCAAATGCTAAGACCAGGATATGTTCCACCTAATAGACATCAAATTGGAGGGTCTCTTTTGGATCAAGCCTACGATTCAGTGATTAAAAATTATTCAGAAGAACTTAGTGGGAAAACAGTTTGCATGGCCATGGATGGATGGAGTAATGTCAATAATGAGCCTATAGTATGTATAACTTTAACAGCGGACAACTGTATTTACCTTGTTGACTCTATAGACACAGAATCAACACACAGCTGAATATCTGTTGAAATTAGCTGAATGTGCTACAAAAAAGTGTGAAGACAAATTTGGATGCACAGTAAGAAGCTGTGTAACAGATAATGCTGCTAATATGGCAAAAATGAGAAGTGAATTCGGACAAGATAAATCCATTATAACATATGGTTGCTCTGCACACCAGTTAAATTTGCTTTCACAAGACCTGCAAATCAAGAACATTAAGGAGCACATTACTGAAATCATTAAGTACTTCAGAAATCATCACATCCCAGGATCTTTGTATAGAAGAGCAGGAGGAACAATGCTAGTAATACCATCAGACACACGATGGAACACAGTGACAGATTCTATTGAATCTTATTTAAAGAACTGGGAGACCCTTGTCAAAGTGTGCAAAGAAAATAGTGAAGACATTGAAAAGAAAATTGAAAGGAAAGTTAATGATAAGGCATTAAAAAGAACTGCAGAAGACTATTTAGAGAGACTTAAGCCTATTGCTGTGGCATTGGACTGTGTCCAGAGAGAACATAACCCTATTAAGTGATGCTGTAGAAATCTGGGTAAAACTGAAAACTGATATTAAGGAGTATTTAACAGATAAGAAGGATATGGATAATTTTGAAAAAGAATCAAAGTAGCATTGACACCTGCCCATTTTCTAGCTAATGTGATAGATCCAAGGTATCAGGGCAGACATCTGACTCCTGAGCAGCGAGACATTGCAGAACAGTATGTGTGCGAGTCTCTTCCACATTTCCTTTCAACATTAATGTTCTTCCATGGAAGAAGTGCACCATTTAAAGAGATCTATTTTGGTAAAGATGTTGCAAAATCTCTCTCACCCCTTGCTTGGTGGCAGTATTTTGCCAATGATATGACAGAAAATGTAATGGATGTTCCTAGGCAATTATTTACAGCTGTTGCATCATCAGCAGGGGTTGAAAGAATTTTTTCCACATATAGATTTGTACACTCAAAGGTAAGAAATCGCCTAGGACAGGAAAAGGCATCTAAGCTTGTCACAGTACATAAGCATTTCAATGTTCAACTAAGCTAATTTAAATGTTTTGAACTATTTTTGTTGTTTACAGAATGAGAATATTGTGTTGACTTGAAGTTATTACCGGTAATTCTTAATACACTATAATCCTACAAATGTAAGAAAATAAACTTGTTACCAGTATTATTTTTTTTACAAAATGAAAATATTATTCTGTTGACTTGAAGAAGTTAAGTTATTCATTTTTTAAACACTGTAATCCTATAAGAGCATTTATGTTAAATTTCATTATTAAGTTTGGATTTGTGCACTCAAATGTAAGATATGTTACCAGTTTTCTTTTATTTTACAAAAAGAATATTATTGTGTTAAATTCCATTGGTACATCTACTGCATAAATATCTTAATGCCAATTTTCTGATAATTATTATCCTGAAGAAGCTTTGGTTGAAAAATACTGTTTTTATGGATTAAAAATACTATTTTAATGCAATTAGTAAAAAAAATAAAAACATCAATTTAAATTAAAAAAATCTGATTTAAGTCAATAATTTTTTTTTTTTTTAAATCATGATTTTTTCTAACCCTGATATATATATATATATATATATATATATATATATATATATATATATATATATATATATATATATATATATATATATATATATATATATATATTTATATATATATATATATAATTCTCTTTGTATACATCTTTTATCTAGTTCAGTATTTTATTAGTGAGCACATACAGTAAACCCTCAATAACTCAACACATATGGGGCTCTGGCCTTGCCGAGTTATCCCAAATTCCAACTTATTGAGGCACTTCCCTCCTACAAAAATACAATGAAAAATTATCAACCCATGACCCATGTATGTGTACATATAATTACTAAATGTAAAAAAGTAATACTAACCAGTACTGCAGGCAAAGAATGAAGCATCATAGTAGGAGACACAGATGCATGGTAGGTGATGCAAGTGGCCAGATATGCCGAGATTTTCCCGGATAATTTTATATATCTTGGCATTTCCCGAGTTATACTAAATACACTCCGAGACCATATCCATGCTGAGTTACATGAAATTCCGAGTTATCGAGGGTTTACAGTAGTGCCTTTTTGCTGTGACTTGGTCGATATACAAAGAAAATATCTACTGTACATTGCTAAATATTATGTAAATAATTCTTTACAAATTTATTATAATTCATATGGAAACTTATTATAATTACTATGTCTGATTGTGCTTTACGGTACTGCCATAGTGAGGCTGTTACACCTTTAAAACCACACACCTGTGGCAAACAGCACCATCGAGTCAACACCCCTGCAGACACACTATCTGAGTTTTAATGTCGCACCATTACCATACCGCAACTGGACCACATCATCAGAGTTGAAACTAGGTTTTCTTTACTTCACCAGAAGGTATTGAAGGGTACAGTAGAGTATGTTGCTTATCCCAAGCATCCTGGTGACCCTATCTGGAACAGAGTTGAAAAACAGGATAGATGATTTGGTGAATTTCTATAAAGATGACCTCCCGTCACCTGGCAGCTTGGCCAGTGAGCTTCACTGTTGACCATCCTCTGTACCTTCCAGTCATCACCTGCTCCACTGAGAGGTCCTTCAGTGCCTCCTTCACATCCACAAAGACATTTCAGTGGAAGTCGTGTATATGGTTACACGGTGGAACCCAAGGAAAATGAAACTTTTTAACAATCTTCCAGATGAGGTTGTGTAATCAAAATAAAACAAGATTTATACTGTATGTTGAATGTGACCTGTACTTTTTCCTTTCTGAGTGTTTGTTAAGACAGTGAATGTTTTCTCTCACTCTAAATCAACCCTTTATTATCATTTCAAATATCCTTATTTCAACAGCATATGGCCTCAGAAAGTTCCTGAAATTGCTCAAATTTAAAAATTAAGGAAACCCCTACCACAATCCAGGTTGTGCCCCTGACTTAAGTATTGGGGTAGCAAAGACCAAGGAAGCTGCATACAAACAAAGAGTGCCATTTTGAGTGTCCTAGTGAAGAAAGTGCCATAGGGATGAAGGTCCTTGAGTACTTGAATTATTTTACCTCATAGATTGATTGTATCTTGAGTGTTCATAATTGGACTGCTACGTATAGGTTCTGAGCAGTCTCTGGGTAGTGTCATATGAAGCCAATTAACTGCATATGTATTTTTTCCTAAATTTAGCCTTAAGCAATGAATTTCTTGAAATAGGACATATTGATACTATGACAAATTGCAATACTGTACTATGAATTTAACAAAACCTTTTCAACAAAATCACAGAATTATTTAAAAATCTTATAAGTGCAAATCAGAATGTTCAGCTGATATGAATGTCATAGAAATTGTACTTAAATTCCAAATCCTCTATGTATAAATGTACTAAGACTCCAGGTTATGAGATTATAAATCTGAGTATTTTAAAACCTTTATAAAAAGACCCATCAGTAAAAATTTTACATTATGACAAGCAAAACATAACCATGTCATGAAAGGCCCTGTAAAAGAGGGCAAAACCCTCCTAAAACATGTAAAAATAAAGCAAAACCTTCTGAAGGAATAACATTATCTATTAAAACATATACTACTATAATTCAACAAAATATGTCCACCTGTTGAAGAGAGAGGTGGACACACATAAGAACAGGATGATTATTATAAAGCTGCCACACATCATTCTTAGTACAGTACCTGTACGTACTGTAGTTCTCACTCATCATTTATAAGACAAAGCAGTTGTGATATGAAAAAATATATGACTTTTATCTATTATCTAGTTACAGTATATTGTAATAAGCTTCATGTGTTTGCTGGATTTAATGTGAAAGGTAAAGTTATCCCTCGTTTAGCGTTGATTCACTTAACATTAATTCGGCTTAGCGATAAAATTTGTTTTTACACCCTTTTTCACTTAACAATAGATCAAAATTCGGTTTAGTGATAGCTTGACTCCCTGGGAACAGGTAAAAACTAGGATGAGATGGCATGTGGCCATTGTTATGTGCAACAAAATTATATAAGTTGTGGAAAAATCATTACAATACCCGTACTGTACTCTAATCCGGCTTAGGAATAAAGAATATATAATATAAAACTATAAAATCCGAAAAATGAAGAACATGGATGTGTACGTGTGAACTACGACACCAACTAGCCAGCCCAGCTCTCCCTCCCCTGATGTGATGTCACGGAATAAGCACAGTGCAGTAGATACACATACACGCACGTCTGAGTCAGTTGGGTGACTGCCTGGCTGAACTGTGTCACATCTCCCAGAAAATGGTTTGAGTGTGGAAGAAGCTTTTTGTGTACATAAAATATGTGATATTGTATTTTTTATGCTACAGTATACTATGAACCAACTTTATTGTTAACCTTAACAATTTTTGCTCATTTTTGACATAAGTAATATGAAATTGGTTTAAATTAGGCTCACCTTTTGCTCATTAATTGTTAACTCAGAACCGTAATGTTTATACAGTATACAAGTTTGGTGTTAATAAATCAACCATTTAATTTCAAAACTGTTTATAAGAAACTCATTTATTATCATTATTAGGGAGTATTCTACTCAGTGCTTATCACCCTGCAGTTTGAACCTGTTGTTCGCCCTCTGTGCTTGTTTAGAGAGAATTTCATATAATGTTAATTTTTTCAGGAATGCAACCACGTCGTTAAACGAGGGATAACTTTACTAGTACATGTTTAATGGAACTTTTATAATACAACAACCTTAATTCTGGAATCCTCTATAAACTTGCATAATTTCAATATATTCCCATAAATTCTAATACTGTATCTGGCAAAACATCTGAAATTTGCAGTCTGTTCACTCAAAGCCTGCAACTGAGGACTAGGGTCAGTTTGTACTAAAGCAGCCGATTGGTTGGTGGACGGACACATGAAGACTTACAAATGTTCTTCAATACTTAATCTGTCACATTTATATTTTGATACTTTAAGGTATAATCTTCTTCATATTGATCTCTGATAATTTCCTAACTTGGGGTAGCAAAGTTTAACAAGTGAAATGCTCCAATAATATGAATTTCTTGGAGGTGAAAACAAAAAAGTGCAAAATTTCAATAACCTCCACCCCACTGCATGATGATAAGTGGCGAGGAAGAATGTCACAGAATTTGTTCATTATGTTTCCTTTATCACATTTTTATTATCAGTGTTTCACATGCTAATTTTCACTTCTCTAACTGTGAAAATTATCGGAGATCAACATAGTCAGGTTTTTATCCCTGAAAATATAAAAATACATTATAAATATAAGTTTCAATACTAGAGGACAGTAATGATCCTTCAGATCATTAGCAATCAACTATGTACCTTGCTACAAACTGACCTTAGGCCTCAGTTGCAAGCTTCAAGTGAACAGACTATAGTAGCTGGTGTAGCTGGCCAGCATTCGCACCTGGCTATTGATTTCTTGCCCTCATTATGACTTCTAGTCAGGGCTGCTGAGAGAACTGGCCAGGACCCTGGGAATGATAAATTCATATGCCCCCTTTTGGCCTTTGAACGGGTTTGTACCATAATCCCACTTTTTCCGGGCCCAAGGGATTTATCCTGACATTCCCGCCCTTTCAGCAGCCCTACTTCTAGTAACAGACTGCTGACCACTGATGAGTCTAGTAATACCAATGATGAAGGACAAGAATGCATCGCATACAATCATTTTAAGAAAATGGAAATATTTTGGAAAATGGATGTGGTGTATTGAAAAATTACTAATATATATATATATATATATATATATATATATATATATATATATATATATATATATATATATATATATATATATATATATATATATATATATATATATATATATATATACCCCTGTTAGCCAGAACAATTGGTGCAGAGCAATAATGGGGTTTGAGAGATTTCTGGGAATTGAGATGAATTCTCTTATTTTCTGAAAAAATCACATATCTATGGTATTTTTCCCAGCATTGGTGAATGTTTCTGTGTTTCAATTGTGCAAACTATGCTTCTGGCACTGAGCACCATTGTTAAGGAGACCTAACTGCAGTCGGATAGACACAAAGCTGTATTTATTTATGCAAACACTACTGTACACACACAGTATAATGTAAATAAAATATACTACTGTATACTGTACTCACCAGCAGATGCTATCATCTTGAGTTTCTGATGCAGGCGGACCAAATGGTGATATAATGATACAGGATGACTTGCCTTTGTCCTGTACCATCTACTGTGGCAGGAACTGCTAACTGTCACTCTTTTCTCCCTCCATGAAGGAGGGATTGTCAATGCACTGTACAGTATACTGTACAGGGAGCCCCTCAAGTTCGCGGATTTTTATTTTTGCAGTCCTCTATTATTTGCGGATGACACTCTGGATGTACCCAAGAATGTCTGTAGGTAGTTTAAAGTTACCTGCATTTTTGCGGCTGGGACAGGGAGCCATTTGTTCTAGAGACAGTAATTTCCTTTATCTGTACTGTATTGTAAATGTGTGTATGTGTGAGTGTGTAAACACATACACATAAATAATAATTGGAAAATCCTCTCACAGATAATCAGAAACAAATTTATTAAAAATGTGAGTCTACCCTCAAGTCCGTGCTTTATTACTTTATTAATAAATCATGGACTTGAGGGTAGACTTTCACATTTTTAATAAATTAGTTTCTTATTATTTACGAGAGTATTTTCCCATTATTATTTACGTATTTGTATGTGTGTCTACACACACACACACACACATTTATACAATACAGGTAAAAGAAATAATTGTCTTAAGGGCAAACACAAAGGGAATATACATTTCTTTGTACACACAAGTAAAAATGTAACCCACCCCCCCCTCGTCCGCAAATGTTTTTTGCGGATTTGGCGATTCATGGCGGCCATTTTGAGAACCTAACCCTTGCGAATTTGGGGCCCCCCTGGACTGTACATACACCCTGTACACAATAGCCTACAGTAGGCATACATTGTCCACTCTGCTATGTACAGTACTGTACGTACGGTACTTTCACACTTAATTTATGTACAGTACAGTAAATGTAACTGTAATCATTTTTTACATAAACACTGCTTTAACAGTATTCTTGGCTGGTTGTATCCTGGTAATGTTTAGTACAGTACTGCAAAACACATATCTTATGCAAAAACAGCAATGAGTGAATGAACAAGCTTGTACAATGGCAGAAGACAATAAACTCAGTCATAATGCTAGAGTTTGAGGAGATAGGCTGCGAGACACATGAACTAATCATAAGCATCACCGTGCTCGGCACATGATGCAATCCTCAGAAATTCATTTGAATACCCAGAACGGAGAGATTTTTCTCAGAATTTCTCGGTGGACCCCATTTAGTGCTGATTCATTATAGCGCTAATAGTCCTGGAGTGAATTTTTCTTTGTATTAAAATTTTTTGGCTCAAAAGTTAATGAATATACAGTACATAGATGTTTTCACTACCCACAATCTTTGTTTACACTCACTCCTGCTTAACTTGTCAGCACTCGCCTTATTCAGTGTACCCAATACCACCATCTTTGTTTTGTAGCCAAATGCAGGCACAACATACAAACGCTCACATCCATGCTGCTCCCGCCTTTATTCAGTACAAACTTTGTCTGCAACTGGAAAAGCACTTTGCCTCATGATCTTGTTATAAGACTTATTTATGTCTAAAATTGTGAACATTTTGCATCTAAACTATTTGGGAAAAATGCACGAGTAATTGTGATGGTAAAGTGCCCAAAGTATCAAAAAAGAGATTTCTCTGGATGTAAAAATGCAAGTGCTGAGGCAACCAGAAGTGGGTGAGCAACAGGTTGACACTGATAATTCTTTGAACTTCTACTACATCTATAATTAGAAAAATTTCAATGAATTAAGAAATGATAGGGGATTCTTCCAAAACCACCACTCCATTAACTGCAACAAAGTTAATTCAGTCAAGAAGTAGTTTGTTGGAGAAAATGGAGAATATGCTAAGAATGTGGGTAGAAGATCAGACACAGTGCCACACCATTAAGCAAGCATATCACAGTACCATGGAAAAAGCAAGGAGCATCTTCAACCATTTGCAAGAACAAGGCAATGAGGTAGAGAGTGAAGATGAAAAGGCAACCAAAGAATTTCCAGTAATGTTCAAGGCAATCATAGAGAATGGCAGGTACCCTCCCCACCTTATTTTCAATGTGGAGGAAACTAGACTTTTCTGGTAAAAGATGCCACCATAGACATTCATATCCCACAAAGAGAAGCATGCTCCTAGTTTCAAGCAGCCAAAGATCATCTTATGCCTCTGCTAGACTCTTTAAACATGTGATTAGGCTAGAAACTGGTCAGTGATCCCCATGTAAACAACTGATTAAATAAAAAAAAAAAAAAAATTTAACCTCTGCTTGTCCACTACTCATATACACCAAGGTGGATGAAAGGATTTTCAAAGGACCATCTTCCTATAGTGTGTAGATCAATCAAAAAGGTCTGGGTGACATCGAGATAACCCAGAACTGATATGTTATATATTTTTGGCCAGCCGTGAAGTGTTACTTTGTGAACAAATTTGAACCTTGAGCACTAATGGTGGTTGATAACACACCATGCCAACCAGGCAACCTTGAAAGTCTTAAGACCTGCATAACTGTGGAAGTGATTTACATTCCACCTAACACAACTTTACTTCTCCAGCCGATGGATCAAATAGTGATCTCAAATTTCAAGGCTTTCTACCTTTGTTACTCCTTCCAGCAGCTGAATGATGAAACAGATGACAACAAACAGACAATCAAAGACTTCTGGAAGGGATATCATATCATGAAGGCCATCAGTAACATCAAATCAGCCTGGAAGGAAGTCTCCAGCAATAATATGAACAGTACCCACTAGAAGCTACAGCCAGAAGTATGCAATGACTTTCTTAGGTTCGAGGAGCGAGTGAGCTTCTATCACCAAAGACATAGTGAGGCTGGTCAACCATGCAGGGCTAGTGGAAGTGGATGCTGATGATGTGTTAGAGTCACTTCAGTCTCATAGAGGAAAGACTAACTAACAAAGGTCTGCAAGAGTTAACACAACAAATTGAGGAGGAAGCCAGCAGTGTTGAAGAAAAGATCCACCAGAGAGAAATCTCACTATGGTACAGCATTACTGAGTGAAAGCATTGCAAAAATCACAAAGATAATGGAATTTTTTTTTTTCAAAAGGATTCAGATTGGGAGCGTAGCACCAATGTCAGGAGAATTGCCATGAGAGAGGAAGAGCAAGGTAAAGCCATAAAAAAAAAAGTATGCTAAGAAGAACCACATCAATAACCTACCTACTCAACATCATCTCCCACTGGTGCTGTGATATGTTTGCAAAGTACCCATCTAACTTTATTGAATAATTTTCATTGTGAACATCTGACGTGTGTGGGAGGGGGTTGGGTGTCAATAAAAATATCTGATTATGGAGAGGGCAGGTGTAAGATGTAAGTTTGTGCATGCATGTAGATGGCTGGGCTGCATCAGCAGTGATTTGGCTAGATAGATGCACTTCTTTCTTCAGCATGTTATTTTAAATTGCCTTTATAGTAACATGACTGTATGATATTATACTGTATATATACAGTACAGTACATTTAATTCATGCATGCAAACCAAAAAATTTATAGTGGAGATATAAAGGCCTTAAGAGTGTATGTGTGTGAGGGTAGGTGGCGGCAGCAGGATGTCTGACTCAGACTGCCATAGAAACAAGACAGTTTTCTTTCTTACTGCATGTTGTCATTGTTTAATCATTCTATAGTAAGTATTATTATGGTGTAGATGTACAGTAAATTTGTTTATTGACAGTGAAAAAAAACCAGTTGACATTGATAAATTGGGGTTGTAGACACGAGCTGATCACTAGCACCTAGCACTGCAGCAGTTGCCATAAGTAACTTGCACATCATCTCCCTCAACTCTTTATCACAATCTCACTCATCACCACCACCTCCATCATTATAGGCTGCCCCTTCTACTCCTTTTTCATAATGGAGAAGTAGTTGCCATATCAAGTCCCCAAGTGGCCTCCCCCCACCTCGACTTCACCAGTTGATGGCTGGATAGATGGGATATGTTAAAAGTTGTATTCAACTTGTTGAATAAAGTCTAATGATGTGTTAGCCTGTACCCAAATCAACACCAAATATGCTATTTTAAGTAAGTGTAACAAGTGTACGAATAAAAACACTTTTTAGTGGTGGGTGATACAGTTAGTGCTCCCTTTCAAAGATTCTAACTCCAGCACTAAGCAGGGTCCACCTGTAAATGAAATCACATTTCGTATAGCAGCACCTCTTCAAACGCCCTTTTGTTACAGTGTTTTTTGTCTAAGACATCTTCTTTATATATACAGTACAGTACAGTATATATAATATAGAAATTATTCAAAAGATATGTGCGAGAACAAAACACACGCAGCGCTCTCCTGTTTCATCTTGAGCTGTGCACTCAGAAAGGCACGGGTTACAGCTGACATCTTTCAACGTAGGTTTGTGTCAAGTATCTGTCCTGTGGAGAAGCAGCATTGTGAGGAAAAAAACTTGTAGCCCATAGTACTGCTGCTACTTTACAATGCTTTAGGTCACCTAGAAAACCTCGATACTACACACTTCGATGTTAGTGGAAATGCTTTTCCTTCCACCCAACACTACCTCCGTACTGCAACCAATAGACCAGGGCGTCATAGCTAACTTCAGAGCTTATTACCCAAGGCACACATTCAAGCAGCTGGTGGACTTTACAGATAGCCAAGATCAGTCAATCAGGGATTTTGGGAAGTTCTCCAGCATAATGAAGACAATTAAAAACATCAGGCTTCATGGATGGAAGTTACCAGTAGCTGCATGACCAGTGTGTGGCACATGTTATGGCCAGAGACATGTCGTGACTCCCATGGGTTTGAGGATGCTGTACCTACCATTACAAGTGATATTATACAACTGCCAACCAAAAAGGGCAAGATGAAGTTGATACAAACAATGTGGAGAAGTTGCTGTAACCATATGGAGAGACCTTTGCTAATGAAGTGCTAGAGCAGCTAGAAAAACAGAATATTGTGGGAGAAGGAAGACAATGCCAAGGAAACTCCATCAAGGAACTGGACCCTATCCCTGTGTCAGGTCAGAGGCCATCACCAAGATTAATCAGGACCTCAATATGTTTTCAAACAATGACCCTGACTAAGTACACAACAGTGCTGTTAAGAGAAGTATTCTGGCAGGCACCTTTTGCTCCCAGGAAATACTGAGGGTGAAGTGGTGGGCAAGGCAGTCTACCTTAAATGCCTACTTCAAGAGGCCAGCAGTTTCCAAGGATGAGCCACAACCTGGTTCATCCTTCCAACAGTAGCTCCACCCATCTTGTCTCCCATTTCTGCCCTGTAGGAGGCGTAGGAGTGACGGCAGATGGTGGTAAATGCAGGCAAGCTCCAACCAAAACCACTGGTGAGGACAGTAATTTTTTTTTTATCATTAAAAACTAATTCACTTAGTTATAAAATATATTTTATATTTTATCATGTTTGCAAAATCATTATTAGTGTTATTATCAATACCCAAATGGCGCTGCTTGGAACACATCTCCAATAGAACAATGTTATAATGACCTCTTACAGCACTCTATTTCCATGGAATGAATCCAGAACACTATAAATGGTATTAATGTGTGTGTGTGCATACATACACATAAACACACACACATATATATACTGTATATATATATATATATATATATATATATATATATATATATATATATATATATATATATATATATATATATATATATATATATATATATATATATATATATATATATATATATATAATGGAAATGTGGCAACAGGTTGGTCCAGTTTGGTCTCAGCCTTCACTTTACCCTGTTTTTTGTGAAGATTTAAAAAGAATATTTAATTATTTATTAAACATTATGATCCCATTAAACTAATCTCAAACAGAAAAAAAAAGACAATGTTATTTTTCTCCTAATGTCTCCTTTGCTGTTGAAGAAGAAGCTGACTCCTCTGCTGCAGGTGCAGTCATCATAGGCTCACTGGAACCATTAAGCACACATTCTAGTTTCAATGATTCATCCCCTTGATTGGCAGGATTTGCAATATATTTTGTTGCAGAAGATAAAGACGATGGCGCATCATTCATTGGCAGAGAACTGGATGAAGCCATGCCCTCAGCATCATGGTATAAGTCTAAGCTGTGTGGCTCAGTGTGATCACTGTCACTTGGGGGTTCATCTAGCCCTGAATCATGAGGACTGTGGGAGCGGGGAAGTGTACTAGGAGGAGAACTGACTGAACTGGGTGGATTCTGGCCTTCTTCTCCACATTCAGCCTGAGATGGTATATCTTCCTGAGAAAGCTCACCGCTAATCTTCTTATCAAACTGTGACATAAATTCAACATCAACCTCACGTAGATGCTGAAGAAGATGGCTTCGATCATTTTCAGTCCAAGTACTAAACCAATCATGGAACAACTTGACCTGTGAAGAAAAAAAAAATATTAAAATTTGGCAGCAGGAGAGTTGACTGGAACCTTCTAACCTGCTGAGATACTACCATGTGACTAGGTATGTTAAAATAAAGTTGTGTCAATGTCATGCTCTACTTGTGCTCACTTGAGCAATTATTATTATTTTTTAAATTATTCCCAGGCTTATTTCAGGATAGGTGAATGCCCTCATATCACTTCCACCTTTTTACACTCACTCAATGTGCATAAGCTAAGATGAAGCTTAGACATGCCTTGAAATTCCTTATTTAATATTTACTCCAAAAACCACTGAGGATTACTGGGTTGTATCCCTGAGCAAGTCTCTATCCTTTGGACACTTACGATGAGGCGCATAGATCAACCTTCACCACTTCCTCTAAACATAGAATCCCACCAAGGTAGAAGGGAGTGAAGCCATGTCACCCGTCTCCTCTACTGGCTTTAATATGGGATTTCATCCTGTGATCTCTCACTTATAACCTATGGGTGTTCTGGGCATGGGCACAAATCCCTATGGGACAGTGGGGTTTATGTACCTCCTGCACTTTTTATTCTATACTACTGTAATCCTAAAAATCCATTAATTCTGATATCCAAATGTACCTCTTACCTTTTTCTTCAGCAATTTGTGTCAATGGCCCAGAAATCCCAAGACTTTAAGGAACCAAGGAGAAAAAGCCTCTTTTATTACTTATTATTTTACCAGCATTCACAGTCTCTACCAATCTTACCTCTGTTAATCATTACTTACTTCTTCCTAATTAATCTCTTAATTGTCTCAATGACTCAATTGTTGAATTATAATTACACTAATTCTGCATTTCCATTTCAATGGAATATGTGTCAATCTACTCCAACTCAATGTACAATTAACCCCCAAGATACGATACCCCGAGATGCGATATTTCACTTTAATAATGGTTATAAATTAACACCATATCTCTATATATGATCAAAACAACTTGCGTTAACGATTTCCATCAAATAGCCATCGATATCCATTGGACGGAACTAATTTTTTTCTCTCATGCAAACTATAGGTTGTTTATACTCAAATTAATCACCGCCTTACAAGGATTCCAGCAGTACTTTACTGGTCTCCTTCCTTTGGCATGGCCACTTCTAGAGGGTGGGCAGTAGGTAAATAAGGTACAGTACAATATATTTAAATATAAATCTGTACTAAACACATATTGATAGCTTCTTTATAATAATAATACCTGTAATAATAATAGTAATAATACAGTGGTCCCTCGGTTAACGAGCACAATCCATTCCAGCAGGTTGCTCGTCAAACGAAACCATTGTTTCAATGGGTTTTTGGGTAATTGGTTCCAGCTCACCGAAAATTGCCTAAATTCAACAAAAAAGGTAGAAAAGTACACTTACTTTGAGGTGTGTATGTAGAAGGCTCCTGGATGATGATGATGGGAATTAGAATGGGGGTGGAGGAGAAGGAAGAAGAGAAGTCACCCCATGGCACCATTTCACCCATAAAATTTTAGTTCTCTTGGTGTATTTCAAAATTATTTTCTTTAAATCAACACTGCACTGCATTATATATTGTCAATATGTAAAATATATTTCAAAATGACCAATAATTTGCTTGGAAACACAGAAAAAAGCATTTAGTTGAAGAGAGTCTCAAGCAAGATGTTACCTCCACTAAAAACAGAGAGAGACTAACGCCTGTCTGGTGTGTTAACAGGCTGGATGGCACGCCAGAAACTAGTTTCTTTACCTTCAATTATGTTCAATAATTGTTAAAATGACTAAAAAAGTTAACATTAAACTTTTAAAATTATTGAATAGTATAAACTTCTTGATATTTACTAAAATAGTAAGGAATTTAAGCCCTAAAACCGCTTACTGTATTGGCGGACTAATACTACAGCTGGTGGACCGCCAAATGCAAGCGAAAACATGTTGAAGTCGGGTCGTAAAAAACTCGTTAATCGAGGGATTGCTCGTTAACCGAAGTTAAGAATCTTAAGGAAGGTAAATCGTTAACCGAAATCTCGTTAACCGAGGGACCACTGTACAAGAAACTGACAACATGTAGCTCTTTAGTAAACAGCACCAAACAAAATTTGTTCACATCTATCTTGGTCACTAGTGGTATCCCCATTAGCCAGAATAATTGGTGCAAAGCTCTTCTGGGATGAGTAATTATTGGATATTGATACGTATTTTCTCTTCCCCAGAATTTTTCCAGGCAATGGAAAAGTTTTCCAAGAGCCTAAACTACTTATCTCACATGGACAGACACAGCGCTGTATTTATTTATGCAAACACCACTTCACACATACTGTACAATATACAGTACAGTATTGTAAATAAACAAAATATACTACAGTACTGTATACACTATACTTTACTGTACTCACCAGCAGATGCAGTTGTCTTGAGCTTGTGATGCAGGCAGGCCAAATGGTGACATGATGATACAGGATGGCCTGCTTTGTTCTGTACCATCTACTATAGCAGGTGTTACTAACTGTCCCTCTCCTCTCTCTCCCTGAAGGAGGGATTGTACATGCATTGTATATAGAGGTGTACACATCTATATACACTAGCTTACAGTAGGCATGCAATGCCCACTGTGCTATATACACTACTTTTGTATAGTAATTTCACACTAAATGAATGTACAGTACAGTATACGTAACTGTAATGGACGAGTTGACAGTTCTGGGTAAACACAAGAAATACACCCTGCCAAGTTCGTAGAGTGATACCGTATATATAATTTGTAATAAAAGTTTAAAGTCCTGCTATAATAGTGACGGTATTGCAAACGGCCCGCCATTTGCAATGACGTCATCACCTACCCTGCAGACGACTCACAGACGGAGGTATGAGTCAATTTATAAGTACCTGTAATAACATTATCTGGACTTTGTTTTGAGAATGTCTGACGCTAGGTAAACATGAAAACATAGTGCTGTTATCGTTTTGATGATTCACTAATGAACCAATGAAATATATCATCATTTATATTAATTAATTGGTAAAATTTTACTTTAACTACCATAAGTATTTGGATGCTTAGATTTGAGATAAGCTACATTGGGTAAATTTTAAGTTTTGGTCATCCCTGTACTTAGACATGCAGACTATGTTTTTTTTCTGATGGTTTGCGATGTGTTATGAACGATTTTGACCTTCATTTCCATCGGAAATCACTAGTTTTGAGTTACTACCCCCCCTCCCTTACCAATGTATGTTAAGCTAACCTTATAACTCACCATACCCTAATATAACCTGTATTTTCTTATGCAATCGAAAAATGTTTTGCGACAGAAATCCCGTAGATATAATGTGTTTAAAGTACTTAAGGTTCCCCAGATGACCAAAACCAAAATACAGTAATACCAATATTGTTTGGAATGTTTATACAGGGGCCTCCACCAAGTTGCACATCGTGTACAATACTGTTGTTGTCCCATTGAGAAGTAACTCCAGAGAAGTCCACACTACTTTACTGAAAGGCCTTCCTATTATACTTACTGACATAACCTCTGACAATGTGTAGTTTATTTCAACTGAAACTTATACTACATTTTGTTAAAACAATGTAAAATTTCTACTGGAAGAAAATTTATAAGTACAGTATGTATTTCTTACCTGACAATCAAAGAGGGATGGTCTTCTGCCCTGAATATGTAAAGAATCAATTCCCCCAAGCAGTCCATTGATGTGGTCTTTAGGATAATAAGCCTGTACTAGAATTGGGAGGAAATCTTCTCTTTGCATTTCAGACCAAGTGACAAACCACTGGCCAAGGAAGTTCACTTGGTCAACTGCTGTATGTTGTTGTGGCATAATGGCTGATTCAATACTTGTCAGGGGTAGTGATTTTCCCAAAAATTGAAGATTGCAGAATTCAATATAGTATTGGTTAAAATTTATTCCTATTTCATTGCCAAACAATATTCTACGATTACTATATGAGGCTAATTTCCTGTCGAATATTTCTGATCCACAATGGTGTGGAATTTATCAACAAATCTGGGGTCCACAAGCTGCAGGGTGAAAAGGAGAAGATTGCGTTGTTGACATGTCCAAGTATCAAACCACTGAGAAAATAGATGTAGCTGGCACTGGAGCACTGACTGGCAGCTACTGTTGAGATTAAGCTGATTCAGACCCTGTTGAAAAACAAAATCGATTTAGTCTGTATTTTGTCCTGTCCATTTATACTTGTATGACAGTTGGCTGCCACATTTAGGGGATAACCACCAATATGAAATTCTTATTCTTCTCTGTTATCCCTTATTAAGGTGTCAGTGGGGGATAAATGAAAGAAAAAATAGGAAAATTATCCTGAAATCCCATTTTAAGGTTAAGTCTCAAATGCATTGGCTGGGTCTAAATACAGTATATACACAATTGAATTTCCTTCTTATACCAAAACAGGTTCCTGAAAAAGGGTGGATTAAAAGCAAGGATTTCCCTCATAGACAATAGAAACATACCACAAAGAACGTGACATTACAATAGCAAATACATAAGCACCTTGCTCTTCTAATCAGATCAGCCACATTGATTTTTGAGGCATCAGTTTTGGTAGACTTCCACACTACTCCATGAGAGGAGGAAGGACTTTTAAGCCATTTAGTTCCAGGTTCAGACATATATGAAGAATTTATCCTGAAAGAAGCCTGTTTTCTAAGACAGCCTATGACCACAAAACTTCTGTAAAGCAACCTCAGAATGTGGGCTTTTGGTAAGTTAGTAAGTTATGGAACAATTTACTAACTCATTTCAGACAGATCTAATGTCCTTCCATTCCCAATCCACCATCCACCAATAAATGGAGAGGATCTGGTGCTACAGGTGCACTCCAGGCACAGGTCTATTTCTTCTGAGCCTGTCCATGCCAAGGCTGCTTCTGATAGCTTTAAAATTCATGACCAGATGACTAATCCTCTAATCCATGGAAGGAATAGGAGTGTGTGTGTGTGAGCTGCCTCGCCACAAGGGCGTGTGAGCTGCCTGGCCACAAGGGCGTGTGAGCTGCCTCGCCACAAGGGAGTGTGAGCTGCCTGGCCACAAGAGCGTGTGAGCTGCCTGGCCACAAGGGCGTGTGAGCTGCCTGGCCACAAGGGCGTGTGAGCTGCCTGGCCACAAAGGCGTGTGAGCTGCCTGGCCACAAGAGCGTGTGAGCTGCCTGGCCACAAGGGCGTGTGAGCTGCCTGGCCACAAGGGCGTGAGCTGCCTGGTCACAGGGGCGTGTGAGCTGCTGGGTCATAAGGGTGTGTGAGCTGCCTGGTCACAGGGGCGTGTGAGCTGCTGGGTCATAAGGGTGTGTGAGTTGCTGGGTCATAAGGGTGTGTGAGCTGCAGGGTCATAAGGGTGTGTGAGCTGCTGGGTCATAAGGGTGTGTGAGCTGCTGGGTCATAAGGGTGTGTGAGCTGCTAGGTCATAAGGGTGTGTGAGCTGCCTGGTCATAAGGTTGTATGAGAAAGTATAATTGCACTATGGTGATAACTTCAGCTACAATACACTGGGTTTAGCTGCATAAAAAAATAAATCTACCGGTAGACTAGAATTAACTACCAGAGTGCTATACTGATACTACAGTAAAACTACTCCATAGTTAAAATCTTGATACTGTAATCATAGTTAAGCTTATTGCATTAAGAAGAACAGTTACCATGATTAAGCTTATTGCAAAATGCAGAACACTGTAAACATAATTAAGCTTATTGAATTATATAGAGTGTGTTACGAGTGTCTGCCAAGTTTCTGTTCTGGATATGAAATATGTTGGTTCGGATGGTGTGTGGTTGGCTCGAGCAGTTTCACTCATAACTCACCCACACTGACCGAGCCATCATTTACGTATTAAATTTGTTTTATTACATTGTGTATTTATTGTATTATGTTTGATTGTATTATGTGTGTATATAGGTTAGATAATGGAACTAATGTCAGTAGGGTAATTTAGATAAAGTTTATGTTTTGGCCAATCCGGATATGATACGTCAGTATTTGGTGGTAGAGAGGTGATGTCAGTGGCCTACTGGTACACTTTAGTCAGTCTCTGCACAGCTGTCTTAAGTTGAGTATACCCTCTCTCTGGTGTTTTGGGAGTTGGCATTTGACTATTGAGATTTGCTATTGCTTGATATTGATTTTATATGATCTTGTTGGACATTCAGTTCTTACTCAGCCACTTCCAAACATCATATCTTATTATTATTTTTATTTATTTTATTTTATGTACAGTTGCCAGTAAAAGTCCTCCCACAACTTGATACACAGGGCTGTGAGAGAACTTTTGCTGGCAACTGTACATATGTGGTGGTGGGAATAAGTTAATAGGTTAATATTTTTGACTTGATTAGGTTTTGACTTGTTAACTTGACCTTTGTTGGGGGAACTTGAGATTAATAACATAAAGAAATACTGATACATATATGAGGTATTAGAATGATTTAAATGATTTGTGTTTATGTAATGATCTACCCTAGGGTTGTAACAAGTACTGTTATCACAATTCAGTGTAGAACACTGCTACTATAATTAAGCTTAACCCCTTCACTACAGGAATGCCACTTTTAATATTGTCTTTGGCTAATGCTAGATAATTTTATTTAGCTAAGAGGGGACCCGGTACACAGTTAGTTAATGCCAGAGTTGTACTCAAATAAAATTTTTGGCCATTTACTTTTTAAAGTGTTCTCAAAATTTTTAGCACTTTTACCCAAGTATGATTTCATAATACAGTACTTTTATTCCAAGACAATTGAAAAAACAAAAATCGTTACTTGTTACAAGCCCCAAACAAAGTTTTAATGTCTGTGGCAAACTAACAATATATTTTTTAATTAATTAATTATTAACCACAGTAAAATAATTGTGTGGGTGGAGGGTATGGTATGGGTGGAGTCATGAAGGGTACAGTGTGGGGAGACACCACACAACCACATATCAAGAGGTCTTGTGAGGTGATGTGACGTGAGGTCAGATGGCAGTGGCCATGACAGCAGACTTTCCCTTTGATCTTCTTGTGTCCATTAGCACCCTGACCACCCACCTCACCTAGCCTACCCTCTTATCCCCCCCCCCCTCCCCTATCGAATCCCCTCTCTTCTCCCCCACATTTTCTTCAGGCGCTTGGTCTTCCCACAAACTCCTCAACTGAAGGAGCTACTGGGGTCTTTCCCAACCCTGAGCACAGGGGGATTTTTGTGCAATTTTACTTTGCAGACTGATCATTAGATTCCGCTGAACAACATTAACTTATTCTTGCTAGTTCTACTTTTGACAGCTTTGAGAGATACATTTTGTGCTGTGAACTGTTTGCCTGCATGTGTAGCTCACCTGTAGATAGGTTTCAGCTACTGCTTTGATTAGCAATACAAGATGATGGTTGAGAGGATCACTTTCTGACATATGTATTGCCAAGCCTGGGTATATAGTTTTGTTCAGGAACTCTGACAATACATAAATTACAATTTTGTGGCAATCATATGTTGACAGTTTTGCATAGGGGTGTATTTTACTGGCAAGCAATATTTGTTTTCTGAATATCTTTTTGCATAAGCAACATATAGCAATGATATCTTTAGTTGGAAATGATAGATTCCCTTTGGTTTTCGTAATGATTAATGCATGAGCTGCATCAATATTTAGGGTAAATAGTACACACAACGTGCTTCACACTTCAAAGATTTCTTAAGTTTCTAGAAACAAAACCAGCTACAATGCAACTATTTTCTCAGTACAAGGAGAGACCACACAAGATGAAACTAAGTTAGCATTTCCCTCTTCTGAGAGCACATTAGATTCCTCATTTTGATATATGTTATCTTGCTCAGAAGACCCTGATTTTATCAAGGGAAGAATTAATTAAATTGCTCGAAGGAGCATTGGCAATAAGATCCTTTAGATAATTACTAGAGGCAGTTAGGATTGGGATTGATTCTAAAGCTAAGCAATTTCCACAAGTCACTCTTCGGTGTCATTGTGAGTTAAAACCTTCTTGTAGGCTGCTGGAGAATTGCTGAGCCGTGGGATTGTTGTTGCACCCTCCCATACTGGTACTTCTAATTTTGCAAAAAAATAGTTTTATATGATCCTGACTCATCTTGTAAGTTAAAAAGTATTCCAAAAGTAGTTTTGAAGTAACAATTAGCATTTTGCTAATTTTTGCAGACTTTTGCAACAACAAGGAATCCAATAAATCCTGTTTTTCTTCTGAATTGAACAATAGGCATCATATCAGGCAGTAATGTTAAGGAAACCAGATACTGTTTTACACTTCCAATGAACTTTATTACCTCTGAAATATTGTCTGCTTGCAAAGGACGCTTCCAGCCGTAACTAAACAAATTCCGAGAATTCATGATGTCAAACAGTGCGTTGAGTGTACGTATGAATTTTATTGTTCCTTGGCAACCATGAAATCCGGGTATCTTCTCATCCAAACAAAACTGGAGGGAGTCAGCAACAGAGTCACTAAGTAACTGCACAGCCAATTTTACATTCATTTTTCTCTTTACGTACTCAATATGTAAAGCTCTTAACTTGTTTCCGAGATGCAACCTTCTGTTTCCTGGAACTGGTGGAGACTGACAATGAATTGCCAATCAATTGTATTACCTTATTTACACACAATTGTAGGGTCTCAATTGTTTCTCTTACTACTAACAACACAACATACATAATGTACTGTACAGTGGTCCCTCAGTTAACGAGCGCCTCGGTTAACGAGATTTCGGTTAACGAGTTACCTTCCATAAGATTCTTAACTTCGGTTAACGAGCAATCCCTCGATTAACGAGTTTCTTACGAGCCAACCTCAACATGTTTTCGCTTGCATTTGGCGGTCCACCAGCTGTAGTATTAGTCTGCCAATACAGTAATCGGTTCTAGGGCTTATATTCCTTACCATTTTAGTAAATATCAAGAAGTTTATACTATTCAATAATTTTAAAAGTTTAATATTAAATTTTTTAGTCATTTTAACAATTATTGAACATAATTGAAGGTAAGGAAACTAGTTTTATGCGCGCCATCTAGCCTGGCAACACACCAAACAGGCGCCAGTCTCTGTCTTTTCAGTGGAGGTAACATCTTGCTTGAGACTCTTCAACTAAATGCCTTTTTCTGTGTTTGCAAGCAAATTATTGGTCCTTTTGAAATTTATTTTACATATTGACAATATATAATGCAGTGCAGTGTTGATTTAAAGAAAATAATCTTGAATTATACCAAGAGAACTAAAATTTTATTGGTGAAATGGCGCCATGGGGTGACTTCTCTTCCACCCCAATGCCTTCTCTTCTCCCTTCTCCTCCACCCCCATTCTAATTCCCATCATCATCATCATCCAGGAGCCTTCTACATACACACCTCAAAGTAAGTGTACTTTTCTACCTTTTTTTGGTGAATTTAGGCAATTTTCGGTGAGCTGGAACCAATTACCCAAAAACCCATTGAAACAATGGTTTCCGTTAACGAGCAACCTTCTAGAACGGATTGAGCTCGTTAACCGAGGGACCACTGTATATCATTTTTCACCTTTGATCTCTTATTTCATCTTTGGATTTCTTTAAGGTTCTTTATTATTATTATTATTATTAATATTATTATTATTATTATTGCAGTGTTGTTATTATTATTATTGTCATCATTATTATTTTATTATTTTTATTTTTCTATTTTCTATTATAAATTTTACTTATCTGAATTATTATTATTATAATTACATTTTTGCCCCCCAGGCACCAATGTGGGTCAGTGACCTGTGCCCGGGTGGGCTAATCCCACCTTAAAAAAAAAATTAAATTAAAAATAAAAATTAATTTCAACAACTTTAACATATAACATGGATCAAGAAAAATGCACACTGGTTCTCATGTTGCAGGATGATCAAAATATGACTATATTTTCAGGATTCAAGCTGCAACCAAGACTTTTCATCAGAGCTAAATTAGGAGCTGCACCATCAAAAGTTAGAGATACAATATTCACTCCAACTGAATGAAGTTTGTTCAAAGCCTGCAAAACTAAATTACTGTGTTCATTACCGCAAAGTGTCAGGGGTTGCGTCGGGCCTACCAACGTAACCCAACTGCAATGTTTGTTTTATGGGAGATAAGACACCAGGCAAGCCGTGACTCTGTCATCACTATTTCATTAGTGGGTGTATGGGCCAGTCTATGACCAATAACTTAGATTTTTTTTTTTGGCACTCCCCTACATCCTTGTGTAAGGTGAAGCGCAGAAGTGTTTACAGTGCCCAACAGGGAAGCATGCTAAGTTCATGCTTGCCTATATGTCTCATGAGTTAAGGGCGTAGAAGCCTGAAGAGTCAAGGGCATAGAAGCCTGAAGAGTCAATGGTTTTGTCATCAAATTATTGGAAGCTCCAACAACTTGTCCCTGAATACGAATTCGCAACTTTCGATTTATACCAGGTACCTACTTTACAGCTAGGTGAACAGGGACTAATGGGGGCTAGGAAGTATGTCCAAACAACTTCCACCGGCCCGGGAATCGAACCCGTGACATCTCGCTTGCAAAGGCAGGAGCGGTACCACTCTACCACCAGCACCCCCAATAACTTAGATGGATGATGGAAATTAATTAAATTCATAAAATCATCATTTATCAAGTATTTATACTTGATAACTGATGATTAATGAATCATGGAATATCGGGTGGTGGAGCGAATTTCTACGTAGATACACAATAATCTCCTGTAAGTAACCATTGTGAAGGTATTTAACTCTACGGTTAAATATTAAGACACGCATATTATATCCATCCAGACATTAATCCATGACAAGCAGCCTACAGCAAGATGGCCGCCAGTCAGGTCGCTGGCTTCAATCTGTAAGGCTGATGCCTCCTCCACCCTTTATACCTCTATGCGTTCAACAGCACGTATGAACACACAAACCATCAAGACTGATGCTAGATTTTCAGGACTTTAAAATAGTTTCTGGTGAATAGAGGGAGCAGCCCAGGTAGTCCAAAAAAAGTGAATTCTAGTGTACAGTATATAAATCCAGGGTAGAGTTTCTACTGTAATATTAAACAAATGTACGGGGTCATATCCAGGAAATAGAATAATGTGCACTAGAAAATTTTTGGAGAGAGAAAAGAGAGAGAGCCGTGGTTACAAGTTCACTTATTAGTTGTGAAATTCTTTGAACCCAGAATGGGTAAATTATCTAACAAAAATATGTAAACTTGGGAATCTTAACACAGAGATCCAATTTTTTTAATAATCACAATACAAGTACAGTACTGTATGCAGCTCCTCCCCGACTTACGACGGGGTTAGGGACCCAAACCCAGGTCGTAAGTCGAAATGGTGTTAAGTCGAAAATGCTTAAATAATACATAGAAAATCTAAAATGGGTGTCTCTTTTTCTTCTCAGCACCACAAAACTCTCACTTTTAAGCTTGCCAGCCATTTTAAAGTGAATTACAAACGAAAATTTTGTCAGTACACTGACGTTGGGACTCGAAAATACGTAATTTGACAAAATTTTGGTACGACCGAGTCAGGTCGTAAGTGCGGGTGGTCGAAAGTCGGGGAGGAGCTGTATTGTCAAAATTTGTAATGTGTGGCACCCTATGACCCAGTTACAAGAATGATAAGGGCCTGCAAGGGACTGTGCAGCATGGAGGGCTGCCATCAGCTAATCCATGCAAGCATAGAAAATATTAAGTTAATCTTTTAGAGGTGTATCAGGTAATATTTTATTATTTATCTATTAGGTTGTATGTCACTGCTCTACTTCATATAGCTGGGAACAGACAGCTGTTGTATACTGCAATCTGGTAAAACTTTGCTAAGAAAAAGTATATTGTATTTATTTTTTTTAATTCTTAAACATTTAGGCATAAAAATTTGTGTTTTCTTAAAAAAAGTTGCACACGAATTAGAAAATAGGAAAGACTTCTCGGTGTATCCTTATCAAGCCAAGAACAGTGAAAATGGTTTCCTAAGGTATTATAAATACTGTAGTAACTTAAAAATTATATTTTTTTTTTATTTATATCATACCTGAAAGAGCTGATCTATGTCAGGGGGCACAGCTTTCTCTACTAACACAGTAAGGAACTGCTCTTTCTGTTGGTCTTCCCAATTAGTAAACCAACTCAACACACACTGTAACTCTTGCTCCTTCCCATTCAAGGACATCTATACTGCAGATGCCTGAAAATATATAGAGTAGCAGTAAATATATGATGCCCGAAATACATCCTGCCTTTACAGTGTTTCTAGATCAATATAAATATGCCTATAAAAATATTCAGTAATATTCTTAAAGCATTTGAAAGATTAAAAAATCCCGTGTTTTCACAAGCATCTAAAAGAAATTCAATGCGGGGTATATACAGTATACTGTAATCAACTGTATATATACAGTACTATACTGAACTATACTAAAGAGGCTCTTTCAGTGACATCACAGTTTTGTCATATTGTAAGGCATGGTCTATGAGTGCAGTTGTGGACTATATCCTGTTTAGTTCTAATATCTTTGTATTTTACATTAGTAATTCTCAACCAGGGTGCCATACCACCCTGGAGTACCCAAGAAGTTGGGATGCTACAAAACATGCCTTTGCCACAAAATTTTAGGGTGCCCAGGGCGCCTGGAGACTTTGAAGTACAATACAGTACAATACTGTATAGTATATTACATATACGTACTGTATAGCATATTACATGTACAGTACTGTACAACACAACAGTAAATACAAAGAGATATCCACATGAGCCACAAAATAATTGGTGCAGAGCTCTTCTGGGTAATGAGACAACTTTCTGAAACCTGGAAAAAATCCTACATACCTGGAATTTTCCCGGGTACTGTACCGAGAAAAGTTTTCTGAATCTAAACTACACATCTCACACAAGCAGATATTGTTGCACATTCCTGGAATGTTTCAGGGTGCCTAGGAAATTTTTCTGGGAGTCTAAACTACATATCTCCTCTCACACAGACAACACTCTCCCATTACATTTAGAGTGCAGTCATAAGCAAAAACATTTGCAGCTAGCAAAAAAGTGTATGAACTTTTATTCACAGCATCTGGTTTAATCGTGTTAGAGAGATAAATTTGGTACTGTACCATAAATTCTCTACAATACTGCTTTAATAAAAGATCCTTAAACAAAATATTTTGGCATGACATAATGATGGGAACTCCATTCTTTAATGAAAAAACATATGAATGTTTATACCTGTACCAGAGTTCGAATTAAGTTAGAAAAAACATTTTCTTACTAAAATAATTCTGAATAGTTTATCCTTCCCATAACAAGGAAAAATTATAAAAAAGAAAACCTGTTTTTTACCTCTAGACCTGGTCCAACATCTTCAACATCTTGGGTCACATGGTGGACACATGATCTTAAGTTCTTAAACCACACACAATAATTTTATCTTATAAGACCCGTTATGTGCAATGTATCCCATGATAGTACTGCCCTTAACAACCAAGTATACTTCATGAGCTGTACGTCCCCGCCAGACATACCGTAACTGTGTGTGTATTCTTGATATATATTGTATGATTACAGGTGTATATATTTTTTCAGACTAGAATTACATTGGGTTTTTTTTTTAATAGTTTATTAATATTAAATTCTGTAACACTGTAATAGCATTAACAATGACATAATAAGTACGATGTTTGGGTCAGTCTGCTCAAAGCTACCCATAGAGCCGACGGCTTCAGAGCCGGGTCAGTAGCTCACAAGCTTGGGCAGTCATCAGACTTTCACCACTGGCCTGCGTTGTCAGTTCACTTCTGTCTTCGATCGGGTGATGTACTCATAGGTATTCATTGTTGAAGCTGGCTGGCTGTTTTGGTGTTTTATGTATTTATGTTCTCAAATCATGTATTGATTTGGTTGTCAGTGATATTGGCAACCTTAAAGTAACCTAGTATGTTAATGTGATTAGCTTTATTTCACTGTTATTAGTAGTAAACGTTTGTAAATATAGTTATACATTTATTTAAGTTTCTTTATTACACCGTTGTTGGAGTTCTTCTCAATACAAATTTAAGAACCATATATTGTATTTCTCTTTATATACATTCACAATTTGTTTGTTACAAGCCTTACCCCTTTGACATGTAACAAATCATGGGGGCCTGTCCCGGATTTTCAAACTATTTGGTCCAACAGTTGATAGACCAGTTGAGTTACTTGTTTAAATTGTAACCATGGAGTTAAATGTTAACGAATTTACTAATAACCCAAGTATCGAACAATTGATTGATGTAAACATAAAGAAAGATGATTGGATAGCTCTTGCTAAATTCTATGAAGTGGAGTACAGAGCAGGTGCAACTAAAGCAGAGATTAAAAAGAATGTGCTTGATTATTTGGTTAGTGCTGAGTTGTTATCACTTAGTGTTTTAGATTTGTGTGAAGAATGTATTAGTGAACTGGTGAAACTTAAAATTCTAGAAATAAATGATAGGAAGGTTCAGAGAGCACATGATTTGGCTATAAAACAGCTGGAAAGTAAGGAAAAGGAAAGGGATTTTCTTTAAAATAATCAAATTTCCAATGCAAACACTTAACATGTGCTCCAAACATGTTAAATTAGTACCTAGTTTTGATGAGAATGACCCTGAGAATTTCTTCCTGTTATTTGAGAAAATTGCCAAACAGTTGAGTTGGTCTATTTCACAGTAGAGTTTTTTAGCTCAATCAGCATTCTTAAGTAGAGCAAAAACTGTCTTTGTAAACCTTACTGATGATCAAGCTTGTCAATATGATGTGTTGAAGGACTCTGTTCTTAAAGCCTATGATCAAATACCTGAGACGTATAGACAGAAATTTAGGAATCTGAAAAAGGATGAAAAGCAAACATACCTAGAGTTTGTTAGAGCTAATGAAAGGTTACTTACAAGATGGCTCCGAGCTAGCAATGCCACCACTTTTGAAGCATTAGGACAACTGATACTGCTTGAAGAAGTTCTCAGACAAGTTCCTTTGCATATTTAATTGTATATTCAGGAGAGAGAGGTAACTGATGTAAACAATGCAGCCAGCCTCGCCGAGAACTACTGTTTATCTCACAATGAATACCATTTCAGATCGAAGCAGAGAGGTCCAGATGTGTACAAAAAGGCTATCCATGCTCCTCAATCTCATGGCCAGAACAGCGGTAAGGTAACGGTGTCTGGCGCCTCCCAACCACCTAACTTTTCCGTTGTCCCAGAGTCATTCAATGATCCACCTGGTAGGGCAAGTGAACCAGGTAAACCATTGGATCCAATTAAGTTTTGCACTTACTGCAAAAGGTACGGTCACACCATCAAGGAGTGCTGCATCTTAAAGAGAAAAGAAACATTCAGAGATAAAGATAAAGCTCCAGTTCTCAGTTCAAGTTCTAGCAGTAATTCTAGTGATCTTGAACCTTGTGTTCAGACTACTTCTGATAAGTTTAAGCCATTTTTATTTAAAGGTTCACTTCAGTAAATGACAATTCTACTAGCTATTCTATTCATGTAAGAGGCACAGGTGCTTCACACAGCCTCATTGTTAAAAGTGCTGTTGCAGCCTTAGAGGATTATTTTACTGGGCACAGAGTTCTCCTTCAGAGTGTTAGTGGTTGTACAACTGTTCCTCTGGTTAAACTTTACCTCAAAACAGATTTAGTTTCTGATCATGTTACTGTTGGAGTTCAGGAGTCATTGCCAGTAGAGGGTGTTACATTTCTTTTAGGGAATGACATTGCAGGAGACAGCAGTACCTCATCCTATTGTCAGTCCTACACCTTCTTTGGATATTATTACTGAGCAGTTAGAGAAACAATATCCTAACTTGTTCCCAGCATGCACAGTGACAAGGAGTAAGAGTGCTCATGATGCTGCATCTGATCATGCTTTTTCTGATTCAAATGATGCTAATGCAGATGCTATATCTGATTTAAATGACTCAAATGACTTGGGTCTTAATAATCTTTATGGTCAAGAAGTAAATCCTGACAATTCAGAAGAATTAAGCAATATTCCCATAACTGCAGAAGTGTTAAAAGAAGCTCAAATAAGTGATACAAGTTTGTTGCCATACATAGATAAAGCTGTAGAACTCGGTGAGATTACTAACCATCCCCATTGTTATTATTTCAAGTCTGGAATTTTGATGAGAAAATACTGACCATGTCATGTCCCTGCTAATGAGACTTGGAATGAAGTTCATCAAATTGTAATACTGTACCCACTAAACTCAGACCAGATACTCTCTCACTTGCACATGATTATATTGGTGGACACTTAGGAGTCAATAAAACTTACCATAAAATCTTACGGCACTTTTATTGGCCAGAGCTTAAGAGTGATGTTGCTAAATACTGTAAAACTTTCCATGAGTACCAGGTCACAGGAAAACCAAATCAGTGCATTAAACCAGCTCCCCTAACACCAATTCCTGTGTCTCAAGAACCATTCCACAAGGTGATAATTGACACCATGGGACCTTTACCAAAAAACCGCAGTGGAAATCAGTACTGTACTTGTTAGCGCATCACACCAAGACTGTGTCAATGCTGGTATCATCCTGATATTATTCTACTTTCAGACAACATGGGAGTCTTTGGAATTTTGTTTTTCAAAATACAGTTAACCCTCACTTTACGCGGTTAATGTAACCCGGAGGGTACCGCGGAAAGTGAGGAACGCGTAAAGTGAATAACATAACATATGGGATTAATTGAAATAGAGTCCAGGCCGACCCCCAAACTCCACTTTTTGACGACACACAACTATGTTGTAGTAAAAATATTATCTTAACTTTATGATGGCATGCACACACAATTAATAATTAAGAGAAATATCAATAATATTAGGTTTTTTAACACTTACATTAGTAGAAAAGATGGCTGGGCACACGGGGATGGGCGGTTGGTTCCGAGGCAGAGGGCAGATTATTGGCCCTCACCTGTATCACTTGTATCAATTGTATCACTATCCACCACAGAGGCTTGCAGGGCCTCTTTGTCAAACCCCCCAAAGTTCATATAAGTCCATATCCTCACTATAATTATCACTATCACTGACTTGGGCCGGCTGTAGTGGGTGGCGGGTGAAGAACTGGTAATGTTTTGATGACTGGGCGACCTTGTGCGCACCATTTTCGCGCCTCTTACACAACATGGCGGATGGCGGGAGGTTTGGATCCAAAAATGGCGCGGCTTGCCAGCCGCTCTCCGCGTAATGGGGTACACGCACCGCGGAATGTGAGAATGTTAGGTTCCGGCAGGGCACCGCGTTAACGGTGAAACGCGGAATGCGGGACCGCGTAATGTGAGGGTTGACTGTATGGTAATTTACTGCAAACATTCATGATGGTATGTAATCAATAGTAATAAGCACAGTATTGTATTTACCAATTACACTTTCCAAAATAGAAGCTCTCCCATCAATCACATTTCAGGATGCAATCATTTTGCCAAATTCTAAAATAAATGTCCGAGGCCTCACCATTTCTTCTAATACAGTGGTTCTTAAGCTGGGGGGCAGGGGAAGGGGGGGGGGGAGGGTGAACAGGTGAACCCAGAGCAAAAATAAGGAATGGCCTTAACAGGTGTGTGTATGTCCTTATTTGGATTTTCGTGTGGGGAGGGGGTCTCACTCCCCACAGATACTTCAAATTGTCGTAAATGGTAACTACGTCAATCAAAATGTAAATTTCCACTAAAAGTGACTGAATTAAGGTAGTAATAATGTCGGGAAGCGTACGATAATCAATTTGATGAAGAAAACGATAATTTTGAGGCTCCAGTACGATAATTCACATTTGAAAATTTGTCAACACTGACTGCGACGGTTGCTTATACAGACTCTATTGAATAATTAAAGTTATTAAAGTAACGAATGAAAAAATAGTTTGTTAATTTTCCAATTTAATTCGAGGAAATTGTTTTCGATTTTTTAGATTTAGAATTTTATATGAAGGAAGGAAGGAAGGAAGGAAGGAAGGGGGGCGTGGAGATGAGGACCAACTGCAATGGGGGGGCACGACCCTAAAAAGGTTAAGAACCACTGCTCTAAAATGTCATGGAAGCCACACATACTCAACATTGCTTAAGCTGCCGCCCGAAAGTTGGGAATGCTATACAGATGCCGTGGCTACTTCATTCCTGTGCAGTTGCTTCAGGTTTATAAGGGACTCATTCTCTTCGAAGCAATGTTGCTTCACTCTCTCTTTTACAGGGATTTGGCAATGATCAGTGGATTTGGCATCCTGAGCACCACCAGCAAGGCAGTGGGCTCTTAATACAGTACAGCTCCTCCCCGACTTACGACCACCCGCACTCACGACCTGCCTCAGTCGTACCAAAATTTTGTCAAATTACATATTTTCAAGTCCCAACGTCAGTACAGACAAAATTTTCATTTGTAATTCACTTTAAAATGGCTGGAAAGCTTAAAAGTGAGAGTTTTGTGGTGCTGAGAAGAATGCTGAGAAGAATAAGAGACACCCATTTTAGATTTTCTATGTATTATTAAAGCATTTTCGACTTACGACCTGGATTTGTGTCCCTAACCCCGTCGTAAGTCGGGGAGGAACTGTATACTCATTTTGCCTGCGGTGCCCACCGTTTCTGTGTGGATGTCAGTCAGTCACCTGTTATAGTACATCCTTCTTTCCTCACACTGCCAAACTGTGGAATGCTCTGCCTTCTTGGGTGTTTCCATACTCTTACAATCTGTCTCGCTACAAAAAGCTGGTTTTCCGGCATCTCCGTGGTGTAGATTAATATACAGTGGTCCCTCGTTTAACGAACACAATTGGTTCCACAGAGTCGTTCGTTAACCGAATCCATTATTTCAATGGGATATTGGGTAATTGGTTCCAGCTCACAGAAAAGTACATACCTGTACAAAGTAAAGCCAAAAACACATAAAGTCAGAAACACTCCCAAAATTCCCCCAGCAATGGACATTATATTCTCCTAACTTTAGTCTTAGATATTATTCAAGATAAAAACTTTACATTACTAAAATGGACTAAAATTTTTATCTCTTGTGCAAAATACAGGTGTACGTATATGACGTTTATATTCAAATTATTCACTATCTTGCAAGGATTCCAGCAATGCAAATTATGTTCTCCTAACTGTAGTCTGTGATATTATATAAGATAAAAACTTAAAGCCTACTGTAAAACCCACCAAACCCTTGCTGGGGAGGGGGAGGGGTGACATATTTGACAGTTAGCGCCGAAGGTCTAGTGAAATATTTATTTGTTTATTTATGTCCTTTAGATTGAGTTTTTGTTTTTTGCTTATAAAATGTCATAGAAGTGACCAGGGAGAATATAATTTACATTGCTGGAATTCTTATAAGATAGTGATTAATTTGAATGTAAACATGTGATAGTTTGCACTAGACAAAAATTTTAGTAATCATTTTGTACATTATTTTGATTACATGTACAGTACAGCTTTGCCCTTAGGACAGTGTGTGCATGTAAATGAGTTTCAATAAATGAATAAAGTTACATACATCGAGCCAAAAATGATAGTTGAAAAACTTTATGTACTGTAGACAGAGCTTGGATGGCTAAATTTTAGAATGATCAATAATTTTAATACAGTATAAAAAATGCACAAATATTAAAGAGCACAATTTTCTTGATATTTACTACACTGGAAACGAATGTAAACATAGGACAGATTACTGAATTGGGAGACTAGCCCATCAGCTGATGCTCACAACAAACCCCATAAATTCAGAAGATGCAGAAAATCTAAAAAAAGAACTTGAAATCATATGCAGCTGGGCAGAAAGTAATAATGTAAAATTCAACCCTGATAAATTTTTCGGCTTGAAAGAGACACTTTTTATTACAAAAATATACCTTTAAAATTACCATGCGTCTTCCAGGACGCTAGTTGTTGTTGCAGAAGTTTTCTTACGCTCAACTGAAACCAGCCCCTTACAAAGACTGTTACCTCATTACAGTACTTAACAATTACAAGTATTCTCTATACAGTACTATAAAACTATTGATTAAACTAATATTGTTGATATACGGAGAAAAAATAAAAATAAGCCCTTGCCGCTGTGCAGTTTGTTTACAAATGGCAGTGGTGCGGCAGCGCCATCTATTGAAGAAATGCTAAAGGTTGTCTGCTGGTCTCAAAGCGCACGAATGTTTGTTTCTTCATACGTTGGCTCTCATATTTGGACACCCATTTAGACTGTAAAAACCTCGTGAAATTCAAATCGTCTAAATTTAAATACAACTTCCTATAGAGAAAATTTATTTGAATCTGGTACTTTCGATGTTTGGCTAATTTTGCCTTATTTACCCTACAGTACTTTTTTGGGCGAATTACTACCTGTAATAAAGCAACATCCTAATAAACCAAGATTTGAAGATGAATAAAATGCTTTTGACTGTTTTACTGGACATGATATTTAGAGATTTACTGTTTTTTGTGATTTTATTGTTTGCTTTCCAAAAATTTTAATTCAACTGATTTTTACCGAGTTGTTTTTTGCTTTTATTTTATTTTGTTTTTAAATAAAGATTTTTTTTTTATTTTAACATTAATATACATGTTTACATTTGCTTTCCTTCTACTGTTGGAAAATATTTCCTGTCGTTGTCATACCGACAGAAACAAGGGAAAGAATGTAAACACTACAGCCCACACGACGCGGAGGGGACCAGGTGTATAAAATGAGTGCTGTATTAAAGATTTCACCTTCTTATACAGATTATTTTTTTTAAATTGATGAAAATAACGACTGGTAGCAGTTCTAAGTGATGATATGCAAAGAGGTGTGTGTACTTGTGTCAAAAGGGCTGTATATCAAGCAACGGTTTCACTGGTGTCGGTTAGTAAGTATAAAAAGTTTTTTCCTAGAATTACATTTCCAAAATCAGGGTGCGTCTTCCACAATGCAGCGTCTTCCAAGCCGAAAAACACGGTACTGTACTGTAATAAGGTACAGAAATATAAAAGAGCACCATAAGTGCTACAGAGTTGGTGCTAATATCATTGAGGAGAAACACTCGGTGAAAGACCTGGGGGTGTGGATGAGCAATAACCTAACCTTCAGAGAGCACATCAACAAAGCCGTGAGAACAGCCACACAAATTTCAGGGTGGATCCTCCATACCTTCTTGTCTAGAGAGCCTGAGCACCTACTACCACTGTGAAAGTCTCTGGTTATATCTAAACTTGAATGTCTGTCAGTTGTGGCCACCCTACATGATAAAGGACATACAAGATCTGAAACAATTACAAAGGATAGTGAGGGAGCCAATGGATTATTGTGGCAAACTAAAGGAGCTGAAGCTGTACACCTTTCAAAGGCTTAGAGAGGGTAAATGTTTACTTAAATGCTGTGAGCGATTTTGCCAGCAAACAAATTTTTTTCCTGCATGAATTTTGCTACTTTTCTTATTAATGATAGTTTTTTCTGAAGAAAAAACCTAATGTTTTCCTTATTTAACCAAACCTAACATAACCTGACCTAACCCCCCCCCCCCAAGTGGTTATATGTCGTCAGTATTTAACTTATCGTTAATTAACCTAACGTAATGTATTCCCCTATTGGAAAAACACTATTTTTTCAGAGTTGGGTCATGTACAGTATTATATAGCATTGTAATGCGATTCAGACGACCCGCGCACTACGCACTTCCCCTCCCGTGGCTCGCCGACGGTATTATAGTATAAATTATAAAAAAAGAAATACTTCCCCAAGAGAACACTGTCACTAGCAATTAATAACAAAAATTATGGTGCTAGAATCGCTGGCAGCATTAATCTACACGTTAACCGCATTCTAGGCCAAGATCACCCCAGGTTTGGCAGGACATGCAGGAGGAGAGCTCTCAGCTCGGTCACCCACATTTGAAGATATTGCAGCAGAAAGTTTGCTGAATATTGGTCCCAAGCTTTTCAACTGCATACACAGATACATCCAAGAAACTACTGGATGCAGCATGAACACCTTTAAAAGGAGGTTGGACAAGTTCCTAATGTGATACCAGATGAGCCTCCTATTTCACATAACCCAGCATCAAAAGGGGCTGGGTCAAACTTAATCATCAACTAGATCAGATACTCGGAGATTGAGAAGAGATGTGGCAGCTGTAGACTCCCAAGTTGACTGTGGTGGTGAAAGAACTATCTGTAAGACAAGACATAAGATTCCCGTGTTGTCCGAAAGTAAAACTTTACCATCACCTCTGCCCACACCTGTTAACACTGGTATACTCCTAAGGTTACTGTGGTTAAGATTTGTTTTGGTTACACCACAGATTTTCATATAACTATATATATTGGGGAAAAAGATTATACTGTAGTGGATTCGTACCCCACAATACCTATTATGTTTCAATCACAAATTTATATTTTTCGAGCATTTAAGACTTTTTGATAGCACATAAGTTAATACTCACCATTCACCTATTCCTCTGTTTTTGACTACCCCCTAAATGTTACTTTTTTTTTAATTACAAATCACTATTTAAGAGTAACAATTCTTGTGCAAATGCTTAGTTTTTAATATATTTACCCTCAAATATTAGGTATCTGCCATTGTCAGCGCGTGTTGTCGTCTTCTCTGTTTACAACTGACCCGCTTGGTCTGAGAGTACTCTCACATCCACAAAATATGTAAAATTACACCATGACACTTCAAGAATGTTGCTTTCATCGGTAACATGTATCCAAATAGGCACTTCTGTTTAATGTGGCGGGGTGTCCGGGAGGGTCAGAGCCCCCGGCCAGGAAGTTAGGTAAAGTTAGGTCGATTTTGTATGCAAAAAAAAAAGGCTCATTTCAGACGGAAATGGTCTGATTCGTTTGAAACAACACAAAATACACTGGGAAAACCTATTTTTGTAAGTAGTTTCCGTGTTGTAAATAAAACGAATCTTTACCGTTACTGTCACCTCTGCCCACACCTGTCAATACTGGTATCATCCCGAGGAAACTGTCACCTCTGCCCACACCTGTTAACAGTCCACCAATAAGTTAGCGCTAATAATAAAACATTTACTGGTGGTAGCAAGGCTGATACATTAAATGTTTCCCAAGATTCCATCACAATGAGACAACTGAAATATAAGTAGACATAGATGCTTACTTGAAACAAACTAGAAGAACAGGTGGGTGAGTGGTAAACAGCTCACCTTCTCACAACAGGACGCTCCTCACCTCAGGGCAGGCTACCTCAGCTCAGCTCTGGTAGTCTCAAGTTCCTCAACAACAATCCGGATTCACAATTGTTTTTGTTTACATATTTTGAAAGATGCTGATTGTTATATGAAAGACTTTTTATACTGAGTTGTCTCATAATTTTTACCTGTTGATAGACTAGAGTAAATACTAACTTTGTTATGCATTAAAGACCTTACTTGTTGAAGCAGTGATAACATTACTGCATAACGTCACCACCACAAAGGATTCACCATCAAACGTAAATCAAATTGTTGAGTGCAAATATTGACACCAAGAATGACTCTCGGGTATTCTTCATTTTGTAATATAACTTATATAGCGAAAGGTATATATTCATTCAGTAGAATCATCATACAAATTGACAGTAATTTGGCATGTAGAGTACAGTACATAGACAACAGGATGTAAAGAAGGATCCAGATCAAATTTAGGTGGGGCATGATACTGTAATAATAATAAATAATAATAAAATTTACTCAGTAAATTTATCGTATAGATTTAAAATTGGATAAACGTGTTATAGACTGCAATTATACAGTTCAGTTCAGCATGAATAGATTATAGAGATAATACAGTATAGGTATACAGTATAGGTATACAGTAAAATCGTTACACACTGGAAGAAAGCGTAAAATTTTGGTACACATACTATTTACTTTTGCTTTTATCTTCACCACTAAACATCAAAATCGGTAAACTTTTTTAATATTTATTAATTTCTTAGCGTTGTCAGTTGACATAGGCGTCACTTTTGATATCATAACTACTTTTAGCACATTTTGCATTTAGCAAATTTCCCATGACACTTGGGGAAGGAATGACCATCATTTGTAAGGATTCGAATACAAATGAAGAATAGCCTGTGGGGTTATGAGATATTGGTTCACACTCGGGATGGGATAGAGAAAGGAAACTCACAATGTGCTCACTGTATACATATTGTATTGGATGTACAATGCAGCTTGTTGCTGGGTAGGCAGCATGGTAACAAACGTTGAGTAGAGAGAGCTGGTTGGTGAGGGTGCCCAGAGTGAGGACACGCGGCTTGGGGGACGCCAAGGTCGCCGGCAGGAGCAGGAGCTGCCAGGCTGGCGCAGAGGAGGAGGTGTTGCTTGCTGGTGGCAGTGAGTAGAAAGAGGCTGGTCACAGCGGTGTCAGGTCTGTCCGGTCTTGCGGGGTAGGCGTGGGTAGATAGTTGACCCCCGCCTGTCGGCGGCACTGGAGGCGTAGGCTGGGGAATTCGAGAAGGTTCGGCTACTCAGCGACAAACGGCGCCTGTAGAGGAATCCACTACAAGCCCACTCCCATGGAAGCACACACTCACCGCCCAGTTGATTTGAATGTAATTTTTGTCATTGCGTGAGTAGCCACGTCTGGCAACTCACGGGTATATAAACCCCTGCGAGGAGGAGATTCAGCCTTCCTTGACGCCCTCCAAATTTGTCTCAGGTATGTAAGCCAGTGTTCCCCGATATAGCCATTCAGTTTAACTTAGTCAATTTTGTGAGTATCCGTGTTCATGTTGTAACAGTGAAATTGTCATTTACTCAGTGTAAATGTCGTCTGTCGTTGCTAGACGAAAGATTGTTTGTGATTGAGTCATCATCATGCCTTCCCTTGACGCTTCTCCAAATTTATCTCAGATCCAGTGTGTGGGTTATTTGAACACCCCACCGACTGCCCAGAGTCGGTGGATACCTAACAGTTAGCTGTAGTGGACGATGTCGCCGACTCGGCAGGATTCAAATTGCTCCAGTCTGCATTCTGGGAAGTAGATCCTAGGCTCTCGCCACGTGTTAAACTACCACCAATCATAACAGCGGTCGTCAGTTGGAGACGCCAGTGTTCTACCCTGGGACACTCCTGGAAGTTATATGGTCCACAGTGTTTGTTGTACTGTATATGTTTGGGGATAATTAACGGAATATAATTATCCCATGTTGGGTAGTGAATCCATGTAAATTGTTGGTATCAGTAATAACGTGTTGTGTTGTGAGTGCATCCTCCATATGTACTAACAACAGTCTAGTGAAGGTATCAGATGTAAGTTTGTCTTGTAATGTAATGTAATGTCATGTATCACTAGTAATGTTGTAAGAAGCGAGAGTATCTGATTGGAGTTGCAGCTGAGAAGCCAAGGAGTTGATCCTGGTAGCTGTATGTAATGTACCACCAGTAATGTTGTAGAAGCCAGGGTATCTAAGTGAATTGCAATGGAGTAAAGCCAAGGGGTCTGAACCTTGGAGTTGTATGTTAATGACATCTTTTTCCCTACTTTGATTTCATATTAATAAACCATTTCTTAGAGAATATTAGGGGTATTTCTTTTTCCCAGTATCCACCTTTATTTTGTCCAAGTGACCTTGATACCAGAATTACAGTACCCATGTGCCTACCCTAGCCATGCTACCAAAGGTCTGAGGTGTTGAAGGAACTATGAAATAAACTATTTAGACAAAACACTTGAAGGAACTAAGACAGAGAGAGAAGTATAAAATAAGAATATAAGGGAGGAAGAAAATCTCCGCCCTTAGTGGTGGCAGCGTGTTTGCCGCCCTTAATGGTGGCCTCGGTGGTTCAGTGGTAGAGCCCCCGCCCTTACACTCTGGGCTTTGGAATGGGCTGTATATCTGCCTTCTTCCATTCCGGTGGAAGTCTCTGTGCTATCCACGAAGCATTGATGACTTGTAGCAAAGCCTCGTGCCCGGCTTCTCCGGCATGGGAAAGCATGGAGTAGGTTATCCTGTCGGCCCCTGGTGCTGTGTCCTTGCTTCATTTTATCGACTTCTGGAGTTCTTGCTGGTTGAAGGGTCTGTCGGTGTCATCTTCAACATTGCAGGCCTCTTCGATCATCTGGAGTCTGGTCTGTCGCAGACGCTGTTGTGTCTCCTCCGCATGTCTCGGTCGGTTTTTCGTTGCTGCTCGGTCGGAGAAGAGTTTTGCAAGTCTCTCGGCTTCCTCTTCTGGGTTGGGATGGGTTGGTGGTGGTGGTGTTGCCTTCCCAGATGCCCTTCGGATCTGGGCCCACATTTTGCCGAGGGAGGTGTGCTCGTTCAGTTCGGAGCACCACTTGAGCCAGCTTGCACTTTTGATTTCTTCCTTCTCTTCCCTGGTATCCTTGACTATGTCTTGCAGGAGATGGCTGTTTGTGTAAATGGGATGTCTTCTGTAGTTTCTTCGGGCCATGTTCACTCTGTGGTTGAATTCTTTCACCCTGGGACAGTAGTACCAGTAATCCTTGTACTGTCTTGATGTATGTTTTGTTTTTGGAATAGCCTCTTCTGCCGCTTGGTGAAAGGCCTCGACCAACTGTTGGTGGAGGGTTGTCTCGTCCATTGGTGCTGCACCAGCCGGCTGTGATTTGGCGCGCCTTTTAGCCAGGTGTTTCCTATAGAGTTCCCAGTCCGCCTTTTGGGTATTGTATCTCCATCTCGGCGGGGGGTGGAGTGGGAAGTTTGTTCACGTTCAGTGTTGTTAGGGTGGCAAAGTGGTTGCTGGTCAGCGTGGGGTGTAGCTGCCAGGAGGCCGAAGGCTGTAGTGCACTGGAGACGAAGGTTAGATCTAGCCTTCCTCCCCTAATGCGGGTGGGCTCTCGGGTGTTTAGAAGGATGATCTCGGGTGTGTCTTGAAAGCTGGTGCATAGGTGTAGGCCGTCTTCATTTGTGGGGCTTACCGAGCTTAGGAAGGGATGATGTGCATTGAAATCCCCTCCAATGAGTGTGGCGTGGTCAGCGGTCGAAGCGAATAATTGAGTCACCTCCAGTGAGCCCCTTGGGTTCTTGTAAATGTTGTGGACAGTTATTTCCCGTTCTTGGAGGGTTACTTTGACGGCCTGTGTTTCAATGTTTTCCCCACATGGCAAATGCTGCATGACCTCGGAGGAGGGTATGCTCGACTTGACCAAGATCATACATCCTCTTGTCGACGCCTGCGTGAAATGCCTCCTGTATGTCTTGTAGCCACTGAATTTGAAACAGCGGTGTTCTTGTAGGAGTGTTTCTTGTAGCAGTATAATGTCAAGCTTGTCCTTGGCTGCTGCTTCTTGCAGGAGGTGTTTCTTGTTTTTGATGCCCTGAGCATTCCATGAAAGGATGTTCAGGGGGCTGGTGTTTTCCACCACTGTTTCATCAAAGACTTCTGGTGATCCTCGATGGATATATTCAGGTCTGATTCCGACTGGATCAAATTCATATCGTCTTGTTCTGTGGTGGTTTTTGCCTTCTGGGCCGTGGTTCGGTTCAGGGGAGCTGAAACGTCCAGTTTCTTTCTGGGAGCTGACGGTATCTTTGGTTCCCTGGTGGCCTTTTTCGGTGTCGAGTGACCTAGGCTGTCACTCGTGTGGGGAGCCAGCATGGTGTCGTCCACTGAGGTGGCTGGAGCTGTGGCGACTTGCCCGGGGACGCTCCCCATGAGTATTTAGAGCTGTGTAGGCTGGATCTTGTGGCCCAATAGTCCAATTAGGCCCTCCGCGAAGGTTGTTAGTACCTTGGCTAGGTCTGATACTGTATCATTCCTTCTGGTGCCTTGGTGTGTGCTTTTTTTTTCTTTTTCGTAGTTGTTGTCGTTGTCTGCTGCTTGGGGGTCTGTGGTGTGCCTGTAGGGAGGCCAGGAAACTGGGCTGCACTTTGGGTGTTGACCGGTTGAGGGGGTTGGCTTTGTTGTTTTTGCTTTTGGGTTCCCCACACGAAGGTACTTGTTGGAGCTGGTGTGCAAGCGGTGGGGGCCGGTCTTGCTGCTGGTCGGTTTGCCCGGACCCTCTTTGTCCTCTCTGAGCATCCAGGGTTCCAGGCGTGGTGTTTGCCCCTGCAGTTGGCACACTTGGGGGCAGTTTTTTCCCCATTCTTCAACTTGGTGAGGCAGGAGTGTGTGCCGTGCTTCTGCGCACAGACGGCGCAGATTTCCTTGTATGTGCACCTCGTCTGATGGTGCCCATATTTCTGGCATCTGAAGCACCGCAGGGGCTCCGGAACAAAGGGCCTCACTTCGTAGATCCCCCAGGTTTTGAGGTCTATGGTGCTGGGTAGTGGACCGTAGTGCGTTATGAGCACTTGTTTTGTGGTGGCCGTCTTGACGGTCGTGGG